TAATATTTTGAAAATGTTGTATCTACATGGCTTATCAGGAGAGAAACTAGGCTGTAATTGGTTCCTACTTGCTCATTGTACACCCATTTGCTGCAAAGCTGAAGGTGCTGCCTGCAACTGTGCATGCATTGCTCAGTCACTTCAGTCGTGTCTAACTTGCTGCAACCCCATGGACTGTAGCCCACAAGGCTCCTCTGTCCATGGGATTCTCCAGGCAAGAATGCTGGAGTGGGCTGCCATTTCCTTCTCCAGGGGACCTTTCTGACTCAGGGATCGAACCCAGGTCTCATGTCTTCTGCATTGGCAAGTGGGTTCTTTACCACTAGTGCCACCTGGGAAGCCTACTATGCAATTGCCTACTATGTTATTATCACCTAAAGAACAGTTCTTTTCCTAGACTTACACTGGTGGTCCTTTTGAAACATATGGAGGACTACCCTGGTGGACTAGTGGATAAGATTGTTGTGTCTTGTTCAGTTGTTGAGTTGTGTTCCACTCTTTGCGACCCCACAGATATAGCCCACCAGGCTCCTCTGTCCATGGAATACTCCACACAAGAATCCTGGAGCGGGTTGCCATTCCCTTCTCCAGGGGAATCTTCTTGACCCAGAGATCGAACGCAGGTGTCCTGCATCGCAGGCAGACTCTTTACCACCTCAGCCACCAGGGAAGTCCTAGAGATACTGCTAAAGAACCTAAAAAGCACAAGGCAACCACCACCACCACCACCACCCCCCCATAACAAAGAATTATCCAGTCCAAATTGTCAACAAGACTGAGAGAAACCCTGAACCAGCTTGTCTCTCCCTGGTAATGCCCTCCAATGAACCTCACCTCTCACTTCAATGAACTGTGCCTCCCACTTCAGCAATTCCTACACGGATTCCTACACGGGTTTTGGGTCCCAAAGAATGGCACCACCTCCAAAATCTTAAAGACTGTGGTCCCTTTCTCTTCATGCCTCCTCTTCCTGCCAGCTGGCTCCCTTGCTCCCTCCATGGTGGTTCTTTGACTTCATTCAAACCTTCTAGCTCATCATCGAGACCATTTAGGCCAATTTCTATTTTCATTTATTTTTATTTTTTGGCTGTACCAAGTAGCTTGTGGGATAGTTTACTGACCAGAGATTAAATCTGAGCCCTTGGCAGTGAGAGCACAGAGCCCTAACCACTGTGCCACCAGGAATTCCCTCTAGTATTTTTTAAAAGATAACCCAGATACAATTAAATTTCATCATGTTTTATTCAAAATATCAGTTCAGTATTAATCAATATGAAGTGAAGTCGCTCAGTCATGTTCGACTCTTTGTGATCCCGTGGACTGTAGCCTGCCAGGGTCTTCTATCCTGTCTGAGCGACCAGGGGAGCTCATTAATCAATACACAAAATGACCAATGGAATATTTTACTTCTTTTTTTTTTTTTTAAATTTTGAACCCAGATGGCTCAGATGGAAAAGAATCTGCTTGCAATGCAGGAGACCCAGGTTTGATCCCTGCATTTGGAAGATCCTCTTAGAGAAGGAAATGGCAACCCACTTCAGTATTCTTGCCTGGAGAATTCTATGGACAGAGGAGCCTGGCAGGCTATAGGCCATGGGGTGGCAAATAGTTGGACACAACTGAGCAACTGACGCTTTCACTTTGGTATTTTACTTTTTTCTAAACTGGCATAAATAAATGCAATAAAATTTTGAGCATTATCTTTCATCTACTAGTCTCACCAAATTCATTTAGTAGGTTATTTCATTTGTAGGTTATTTTTCACACATATAATCTTATCATTTGTAAACAATGACAATATTATTTCTTTCATTATAATATTTATGCCTTTTCTTTCTTTCTCTTATAAACAAGTTAAAATCCCCCGGTGAAATTCTGACAGGAATGGGCTGGCAAGAACTCTTGCCTTGTTCCCAACCAGTGGGGAGGAATTCTGTGGCCAGCCATCACCACCTGATTTTATTTTCTTAAGTGCTGGGGCACTCTGAAATCCTGTGTGTATTTTACACTTACAGCACATTTCTATTTGCACCAGCAGTACTTTTCATGTGCTCAGGAGCCACGCATGAGTAGAGCCTACAGACTAGATGGTGCCATTCTCCACTCACTTCCTTCACAGGGATATTCGGTCTAGACCCTGAGATGTGTCACGTCAGTCACCCTAACATCAGCACCCTTAGCTCCCCAGTCCTAACATGCTTGTACTCGGTAGCTTCAGTTGTGTCCAACTCTTTGTGACACCATGGACTGTAGCCCACCAGGCTCCTCTGTCCATGGGATTCTCCAGGCAAGAATACTGGAGTGGGTTGCCATGCCCTTCTCCAGAGGAATCTTGCTGAGCCAGGAATTGAAAACTGTGTCTCCTGGGTCTCCTGCATTGCAAACACTTTCTTTACTGCTGAGCCACTGGGGAAGCCCAGTCCTAGTATAGTTCTGTTAACTGCATAATCCCAGGATCAGGATGATTCAAAATTCTCACTCCTGGAAACAACTACATAACTGTGGACAGGAATCACCTCTCAGTTGGTCTATCACCTTTGATCACAATAGCTTCACCTTGTGTTTTGAAAACATATTCAAAACTTCACCACTCAGAATTTTACTGTATAAAATAAAGAAGTATAAGAACTAATAAATAAGTTAAAAAAATCTTGACTTAAAAAAATCTTCTGCTTCAAGATTTCCAAAGTCTATAGATGACAATTTTCTATTTCATAGAGAAAATGGAGACTGTTGAGATTTCTTCTTCTTTTTTTTTCTCTAATATTATGTACATCCATCCGCATTTTTATTTCCTCTGCTGGTCTTCAAAGCAAACGTGTTTGTTCCTCATTTAGTCCAAGGCTAATCCTCTTCCTGGGCTTTGGAAGCCACCTCTTCATCTCAACTAGACCTTCCTGTTTCCCCTGCCTCTAGCATTTTCAGCCTCTCTTTCCTTCCCATTGGTTTATATTATCCGTCAACACATAACTACAATTTCCCCATTAACAGAATACTTGTATATAAGCTTGGGCTTTCCTCTACCCCATGGTTATCACCCTTTCTCCTTCTCTTTATGGCTAAGTATCTTTTCTTTTTTTTTTTTAATATTTATTTAGTCACTCCAGGTCTTAGTGGTGCCAAGTAGGATCTATTCCTCTGACAAGGGATCAAACCCCGGGTCCCTGCTTTGGGAGCCCAGAGTCTTAACCACTGGACCACACGGCCAGTCCATATGGCCAAGTATCTTGAAAATATCTTATGGTCCTTGATTCCTTTGACAGTCCCACTTCAACTATTGTAATCTTCTCCCTCATCGCATCCAGACTACTTTCTTCAAGATCACCTATGACGTTCTGTTGCTAAACACGATATGCTCTCTTCAGACTTTGTAACTCGGCCAACTTTTGAGACTGTTGATCATTGCAACGTCTCTGACATTCTTGCAGTGTCAGACTCTGGAGCCAAACTGCCTGGATTCTGATTCTACCACTCAGTTGTGGGACCTGAAATAAAAATAGTACCTAACTTTAGGGCTGTTTTGAAGACTGAGTAACCTATTCTACACACTTTACATGTAAAACTCACTTAAACAGAACCTGCTCCTCATAATTTGTATATGTTATTTATAATAATAGATAGGTGTGGCTATTTATGGGGGACCCCTGATGAGGTCCCACACTGGCCCAAGTTCACACAACTGGTGAAGCTGAGTGCTGCGCCCATGAAACTTACCTACATGCACGGTTGGCTTAAACTGGAGACAGAATTTGGGTTATGAGAAGGACACTTCTGCTTAATATTACTGGCATTGTTCTGGAGCGACGTGGAACAGCTCTTTGAAAAACGCACCCTTCGTGGGCCGGGCTGAGGTGAGAACAGCGCCGCCCGCCCGACCGACCCGGGACGCTTCCTTCGCCGGCAACCCGAGAGACGACCCGCTGGCCCGCCCTCCGGAAGCGCTCCCAGCTCGGGACCCGGGAGCGGGGAAAGTGGGGCAAGCGGGTGAGCGGTCAGTCTGGACAAACCCCCTCCGCGGGCGCGAGAGCAGCGGGTGGGCGTGGGGCTGGGAGCGGGCGGCGCACACGCAGGGAGGGGGCAAGCGGGACCCGTGCTCCGGCGATTGCGGACTCAGGCCCGGGGGTCGCGGGGGCAGCGCGGGCCGGGCTGCGAGGCGGAGCGGCTTCTCGGGGAGTGAGGATCGGACCGCGCACCCCTTCCATACTGCATCCTATATTTTCATTAGCAAATTACTGTATTAGCTTTTGATCGGTATAGGCTTGGGAAGGAACGCTTTTTGTCACATTCAGAGCATATACTGTGCAGTTTTGTTTTGTTTTGTTTTAGTGAGTTTGTTGTTTAGTCGCTAGGTAGCGTGGGACTCTGCGACCCCATGGACTGTAGCCCGCCAGGCTCCTCTGTCCATGGGATTCTCCAGGCAAGAACACTGGAGTGGGTTGCCATTTCCTTCTCCAGGGGCCCTTCCCGACCCAGGGATGGAACCCGTGTCTCCTGTGTCCTGTATTGACAGTGATTATTTACCACTAGGTAAATAATCTGGGAAGCCCCCAAATACTAATAATAGCTGCCATTTATTCAGGGCCCCCTATGTACCAGGCAAAGTGTTAGGAACTTTATATTCATCTTCTCTAATGTATTAGGAGATCCAGCAAGCTGCTCCACCCAGGAAATATAAAGGAAGACTGAGGTTCAAGGACTCTGTTTAACATGTCTTCTTTGTCCCAGGCACCTCCAACTCAGCGTATCCCCAAAGAAGCACGTCTTCTCCACATCTTTCCCCACCACACCCTACCAAACTCCCAAGGTCTTGCCAGTTCTTTCACATGTTTCTTTCCTGTTGTCTTCATCCCCATTTCATGTGTGTGTGTATGCTCAGTCGTGTCAGATTTTGCGACCCCACGGACTGTAGCCCACCAGCCTCCTCTGTCCATGGGATTTCCCAAGCAAGAATACTGGAGTGGGTTGCCATTCCCTTCTTTGGAGGATCTTCCTGACCCAGGGATCGAACCCAGGTCTCTTGCATTGGCAGGCGGATTCTTTACCACTAGCCATCTGGAAATCCCCCTTCATCCCCATTGCCACTTCCCTATTCTGTCCATCATATTCCTGCCTTTTCTGTGGTAGGAGTCCTGCTCTGGCCTTCTTCCCCTCTCCCCTGTCTGGTCCATTGCTCTGCAGCTAGCATGAGTAATTGTTCTAAGATGTAAATCTGCTCTCCTAGTTTAAACCCTTCAGAGAGCCCATTCTTCACTACAGGATAAAAATCCACCAACCTGTGCTCGCTTTGGCAGCACATATGCTAAAAATCCACCAACCTGAGCTTGGCTTACTAGGCCCAGTCTGCCTTACCTGCCTTACTGCCCTCTTTCAATTCCTTGAATTGAAACAATCTCTTTTGCTCTTAAATAGGCTCTTCCCTCCTGCCTCCATCACTTCCTCTTTGCCTAGATAGCTTCCATTCAGGCTTCAGCCTGAATATCATCTTCCTAATTCCCCAGGATACCTCTACCAGAGGCCAGCATGGCTCTTCCTGTAAGACCCACTGTCCTGCATCTTTGAGGTCCGTGGTCTCACCTGGAATGTGAGTGATGGCTGGGGCCGTGAGAGATTTATTCAGGATTATAAAACCTGGCGTGAAAAAAAAAACAAAAAAAAAAACCTGGCGTGGATACTCCATGTCCACCTGTTGAATGAATAAAAGGAATAAGCTGTTCTATCTTGGGGATAGAGCTACTTTGAATTCATTCTGCCTTTTGAAAATAAATTTAATTTCCCATTGTTTCTGATTTTGAATGCAGGCTGGGAGGCCCAGTGGTGACGGCGGGAGCAGACCCCGCTGTGTGGTGCCCGGCATGGACGGCTACAGGGTCCTGAGCGTCATCGGGGAGGGCTCCTTCGGCAGAGCCCTTTTGGTTCAGCAGGAGAGCAGTAATCGGATGTTTGCCATGAAGGAAATAAGGCTTCCCAAGGTCACTGCTAAAGCAGTTAGCTCATGTTGAAAGTGTACATGTCATTTGTACAAGTTCTTGAAATTTAACATGGGATCGTTCTGTGCAAAAGATTTAATGGGTTTATTCATCAGCTTTACAAGGTCTTGATCTGTCTTCTGTGCTTCCTGCTCGTGCTCATTCACTTCGATTGTGTCTAATTCTGTCATCCTATGGACTGTAGCCCACCAGGCTTCTCTGTTCATGGGATTCTCCGGGCAAGAATACTTTAGTGGTTTACCATGCTCTCCTCCAGGGAATTCCCCACCCAGGAAGCTCCTATGTTGATGGCATACTGTCCTCCAAATCAGCTTATGCTTAGGTTGATGTTAAAACTAGTTTACATTCTATACTTGTAAAGATATAAGAGGTCAGCTTAAGCAGGCAAAATATGTATAGCCATAGTTGAAAAATCCCCACATGTTTCCTCTTGGGATTTGATAAACCTTAAGTTGGGTCAAAGTACAGTGCTTGCAAAGAGTCGGACACAACTGAGCGACTGAACTGAACAGTGCTATAAAATTATGTCTGATTGAAAGAGACACAGTTTCAATTGTGTCACATTAAAATATCATACAAGCTACTATAATACTGTTTTACTATCATACTGTCAGTTTTTAAATGAAATACTACATTTACACTTCTTTAAACCTTCTTCTAGTCTTTGTCTGACACACGGATTTCTAGGAAGGAGGCTGTTCTGTTAGCCAAAATGAAACACCCCAATATTGTTGCCTTTAAAGAATCATTTGAAGGTAAATATGAATTTCCCCCAATACATGCATTTCTGAATTTCATTCAGAATACACGGCCACTGGGACTTTCCTAAGAGTCTTTAATTTGTTGCAGCTGAAGGACATCTGTACATTATAATGGAATATTGTGATGGAGGGGACCTAATGCAGAAGATTAAACATCAGAAAGGGAAGTTGTTTCCTGAAGATACGGTAAGAGACTAACTTATATAAGTTTCCCTCAAAGTTTTGTTTGTTTTAATATTTTTTTTGGCCATACCAGGAAGCATGAAATTGAAAGTGAAAGTTGCTCAGTGGTGTCCAACTCTTTTCAACCCCATGGACTATCCAGTCCATGGAATTCTCCAGGCCAGAATACTGGAGTGGGTAGCCGTACCCTTCTCCAGGGGAATCTTCCCAACCCAGGGATCGAACCCAGGTTTCCCACATTGCAGGCGGATTCTTTACCAGCTAAGCCACCCGGGAAGCCCACCAGGCAGCATTCAGGATCTTAGTTCCCTGACCAAGGATCAAACTGGGGTGCCCTGCAGTGGGAGCAGGGTCTTAACCACTGAACCGCCAGAGGAGTCCCCAAGTTTCTCTCAAGGTTTAGGAGCAACTTTGCTCATAAAATTTGAAAGTTAAAAACATTGCTCTCTGTGGTTACCTAAGACATTAGTTAGAAATGACTTTGTGTATCCATGATGTTCTTTAGTGTGTTGTCAGGATGTGACTGCCTGGGGTGTTTTTAAGAGGTAAAGTAGGTATATCTATCATATTTTGTACTAGATATTTAAAATTTTTACTTTTTGTATTGAAATTTTAGAAGGCACATGGATTTCTTTTGTAATTCTCCATCATCTGAAGGGTGAAACTTGCATTTCTGTTTTTCAAGAGTTCCTATTCTTCGTCTCTTTTCTTTTACAGTTTAGCATATTCTCTTTAAATGCTTAGTGTCTTTTTAGTGGAAAGTTGCATATTAAATATTGGAATGAATTGACCGAGGAAAATATTTAAATAAACAGCTTTACTGGGGCTAAATTTGATATAGGGTATAACATGTTTTAAGAATACATTAGGATAAATATTTTTCATTTAGAAGTTGTGTTGCTAAGAATATGAGTTCCATTGTAGGAGGCCAGCCTTGGCTTCCAAAGATTGTTGAAAATATAATGAAATATTTTAATGTTAATATCTGAATATTCTGAAAAAGTGAATGAATCTGATGTAATGATTACACTATAAAAAGTTATAGCATATTCATTTTAAGTGGTGAACTACTTTTATATGTGTATTTAAGAAATATTTTTATTTGGTTAAATACAAGAAAAATATAGTGGGAGTTTTATTAAAATAAATTGTTGGAAATTCCCTGGCTGTCCGATGGTTAGGACTCCACCCTTTCACTGCCAAGGACCCTGGTTCGATCCCTGGTCAGAGAACTAAGATCCTGCAGGCTGCATGGCAGGGCCAGATAAATAAATAAATAGTTATTTGGATCATTCATGAGATGATGATACATTGGGATTGATTCACAGCTTTTCTCAGTTTCTCCAGACAGCAATGAATCTTAGTTGAATGATGTAATTTTTAGGAGTTCTGTATTTACATTATGTAAAACCCGGGTCAGCTAAGGCCTAAAGATGATTCTTAGGAATTTGGGGTTACCATGCCCCAGTTATTGCATTCTTGCATGCTTTTTTCTTTTTCTTTTTTTTTTTTACAGATACTTCATTGGTTTACACAGATGTGTCTTGGAGTAAATCACATTCACAAGAAACGTGTGTTACACAGAGACATCAAATCTAAGGTGAATGGAATACATTTGGGGCCTAAAAAATAATTGAAACATTTCTTTCAATCCTTTTTCTGTGTTATTCTCTTTTGGGTGCATTTTAATCTTTAGAAATATTTTTTTTTTGCCTGCACCCCAAGGCATGTGGTATCTTAGTTCCCCGACCATAGATTGAGCCCATGCGCCCTGCATTGGCAGCACCAATTCTTTTTTTTTTTTCCATTTATTTTTATTAGTTGGAGGCTAATTACTTTACATCATTACAGTAGTTTTTGTCATACATTGAAATGAATTAGCCGTGGATTTACATGTATTCCCCATCCCGGTCCCCCCTCCCACCTCCCTCTCCACCCGATCCCTCTGGGTCTTCCCAGTGCACCAGGCCCAAGCACTTGTCTCATGCACCCAACCTGGGCTGGTGATCTGTTTCACCCTAGATAATATACATGTTTCAATGCTGTTCTCTTGAAACATCCCACCCTCGCCTTCTCCCAGAGTCCACAAGACTGTTCTATACATCTGAGTCTCTTTTTCTGTTTGGCAGCACCAATTCTTAACCCCTGGACCACCAAGGAAGTCCAGAAATATTTCTTAATATAATATTATGCTAGCACGGTAAGGTACGACCTGAAAATGGGTCAGTAAATCTCTTTAGTAGTGTATGTTAATATGTTCCAGCTCTCTTAGAGACTGCTTCCTAAGACCATGTATTCTCAGATGGAAAATGATTGAGACTGGAGTCTGCCATCTGGAGTTACCCTGAACGGGCTCCCTGCTTGGCTGATCAGGGTCTGCTGATACGGTGTGACGCTTGCCTTAGATTTCTAAGCAGTCATCCTGAATTCCCAAGCAGGGGCGTGTCACTGTCCAGAGGATATCTCGTCGTTTCGTGTTCCATTCGGGGACTTGGCTATCAGCATTTCTACATATAATTCTCCACCATCAGCAGGCTTTGAAAGACAGCTTCTCTTGGACCTCTCTGCCTTATATTTGAAAGATGGCAGATGTGATCTGAGCTCTTCTTTTTCATTGCAGAATATCTTTCTCACCCAAGACGGAAAAGTAAAACTGGGTGATTTTGGATCTGCCCGTCTTCTCTCGAGGTATGTATGTCTCTTTCTCTTCTGTGGTAGTGACTGTTGCCAAAACATCATTATTCAGAAATGCTCTGTAATCGTTCTGTACCTTTTTATGGTTTTAGCCCCATGGCGTTTGCTTGTACATACGTGGGAACACCTTATTATGTACCCCCAGAAATTTGGGAAAACATGCCTTATAACAATAAAAGGTAAGTGATGTATGTAGTTGGGGAAGGGGTGACCGTTTGGTGATAGTACTATAGCCTACAGATGAAGTTTGGTTGTTAAAAGAAAGCAGTGTAGAATTGAAGTTCCTAGGCCTGTAGGTGAAAGTCATAAATTTTCCAGCTATTTTCATCAGAGCTGAGAGGAGCTACATGTAAATGCTGAAAGAAAAATTAATCATTTCTGGGGATAGTATGAATTATATTACTGCTTCTTTTACTTTGCTGCTCTCAACTTTAAAAATCCTGAAGCTCAGGTCGTAGCCATACCAGTTAAATATGAGTGTCTGGGAGTGGGAACCAGGTGTCAATCATTTTCCAGGATCACCAAGTAATTCCTACGTGCAGCAAAATTTGGGAACCAAATGTCATTGAGTTGACATGTAAAGGGCTAGATAATAAGCACTTGACTGATAGGTTTGTTGATCATGGGAAGATAGTATGAAGTCCTTATAATTTAAAATGTACTTTTTTCTCTGAATGTAAGTAAAATGTGCTCATTGATGGAATGGATGGGCAGTGGGTGGGTTAGAAATGTAGAGATAAAGAAAGGACATGGTGATCACCCAGTTTTATAGAAACTACTAATAACATTTTGGGTTTTTTCCCCATCCATTCTCTTTTTTCCCTAAACTTAGTTTATATACTCTATATAGTTTAGTATCCTATTTTTTCACTTTGCATTATTATATCATATTCATTTTACCCTGTATTTATACTCTTCATGATTATTGTTAATGATTGCATAATATTTTAATATATGGCTCTTCCAAAATTTATTTCACATTCCTCTGTTGTTGGCTTTTGATATGGTTCTAGTTTTCAGTGTCCTAAATTACTACAGACTCTGAATTACTATGCCTTTTAATACATAAAAGTGTCACATTCTTGGCATGAGTTCCTAGAAGTAGAAACACCTAAAGGCTTTTGTTACCTCCTGCCAAGTAGCTTTCTAAAAAGGGTATGGCAACCCATACTGTGGGCTTTCCCAGGTGGCTCAGTGGTAAAGAATCCACCTGCCAATACAGGAAATGTGGGTTTGATCCCTGGGTTGTGAAGATCCCCTGGAGAAGGAAATGGCAACTTGTGTGGAGAATCCCATGGACAGAGGAGCCTGGCGGGCTACAGTCCATGGGGTTGCAAAAGAGTCGGATACAACTTAGCAACTAAAAACGACAACAACGCTCCATACTAAATAGACTCCTGTAAGGTAAAGTTGACTGAATTGGAGACAGAACAGCTATGAAGGAACTTCCTGGGATAATTGGGGAAACCTGAGTTTGAACAAAATACTAGATAATAGTATTGAATTAAGGTTCGATTTCTTGGATGTGATAATGGTACTATATTCATGCAGGAGAGTGTCCTTGCTCTTAGGCTGGATATGCTGACATTTTTAGGGGTGAAGTGTTTGACGTCTGAAATTTTTCTTTCAAGAGGTTCAGATGTAGGCAGAAGAGGGGCCAGCAGGCAGATGCTAATGACTGGGGATATTAGGAAGGAGCGTTTGGGCCTTTACAACTTCTCGGTAGGTTGCAAGCTTTGAAAAATTAAAAGTTGGGGGAAATAATTGGTTTTAAAAAATCCTTGTTAAAGTGAAAAGATTATCATCTAGAAAAAGTCCGGAGGATGACAACTAGGTGGTGAGAATGATGGAGGAAAGTGGAGGTGTTTAGTTTGAAGAAGGGTGGGCGTGTAGGGCAAAGTGTAGAATTCTGCTGAGCTCTGAAGCGCTCTTTTGTAGAAGAATAAGAATGCGCCCCCTAGGGGCAGCCAGGGGGAACACTGAGCTGTCAATCGAGGTGAGACCAAAGGCCTGGTTGGTGAGCCCAGGTCTGGAGGCTGTACAGGATGACTTCTAAAGCCCTTCTTCCAACTATGGTAATCTGAGTCCACGGATATTCCTCTTGCCCCAAGTACTACTGAAGTGATACCTGAACCACTGGATTTGGAGGGGCAGGGTTTGGGGAGCAGGGGGTTTTTCTGTGAACATCACTGTAAGTGGTCTAAGTGGTAGATCAAACTTGCTGCATATTTTATTTCAGTAACTAAGAAGTCCTTATGATATCTGTTCTTGTTAAAGGTAGAGTAATTTTTCATTTTGGGGTATTGGAAAATACTTATATTTTTGTGTGATAACTCATAACCCACTCATCATTACATTGCTTCTTTTGCTTCCAGTGACATCTGGTCCTTGGGATGCATTCTCTATGAACTCTGTACCCTTAAGCATCCAGTAAGTATGGCATGCAGCTTGGAAGAGGCAGCATTTGGTTGTTTGGGGCTAAGTCCTTTTTCATATATTCACTTGTATGTATTAGTAAGGTGATACATCCCCAAGGCAGGATGCCATCATGTTCTTACATAAGTGTTGCTAAGGCTGAAACCTGATGTTAATTGCAGTATGTTTATTATACAGTGAAAACTTTTAAAATGTTATTCTGGTGTGTCATTTTATATCCCACTCAATTACTTGTCAAACCATAATAACTACCCCGGTGACGTGAAAGGTAAAAAGGATTTTGCAGCAGAAGTTTAAAATGGGAAAAGTCTAAAGTGCATTTTGTCAGGGAGCAGACCTGGGGATTTTTGAGGAGGAGGGAAGTGAAGAAACATTGCAGTTACTGTCAGCCCTAGGGTCATTTGAATTTTTTAAAGCCCATATATATGTATTATTGATGTTTTGATTTTTAAAATACATTAAAAATGTGTATCTGCAGAAACACTGATTTGAGTAATAAAGTAACCAAGCTGGTACTGATGGTAAGACTTCCTTAAGACAGGAACATCTTTTGCTATTTATGTTTACCTTTCTCCTGAACAACCATAAGATTTTAGAATAGTACTGGGGTGGGGGGTGGGGGAGTTTGGGACTAGCGGATGCAAACTATTACATTTGAATTAAACAACAAGGTCCTACTATATAGCATGGGGAACTATATTCAGTATCCTGTGATAAAACCATAATGGTGCTGGTGCTAAGTTGCTTCAGTCACGTCCGACTCTGTGAGACCTCATTGGCTGCAGCCCACCAGGCTCCTCTGTCCATGGGATTCTCCAGGCAAGAACACTGGAGTGGCTTGCCATAATGGAAAATAGTATAAAAAGGAATGTATACACATGTATAACTGAATTACTTTGCTATATAGCAGCAGTTTAACATCATGTAAATCAACTATACTTCAATAAAATACAATTTTTGAAGTACTAAGAAAAAGTATGATTAGAAAAAAAAAATTCAGAATAGTACCTTAACAACACCTCTAGAAAGAAATTTTTTTTAATTAAAATAATTCATCTGAATTCAGTTCAGCTGGTATTTTCTTATTTCCATTCTCTTTCCCTGTATCTGCTTTTACAGTTCAATTTTGCTTTTTAGTTTCAGGCAAATAGTTGGAAAAGTCTTATCCTCAAAATATGTCAGGGGTCCATGAGCCCACTGCCATCCCATTATTCCTATGAGCTGCAGCTTCTGATCAAGCAGATGTTTAAAAAGAATCCCTCACATCGTCCTTCAGCTACAACACTTCTCTCTAGAGGCTCTTTAGCTCGGCTTATCCAGAAGTGCCTGCCCCCAGAGGTACAGTGTGTGGAACTGACGTGTGAACCAGTTTTCAAGTGTTTGTTTTCTTTTAAACACAATTACATGTTATACATGCTCATAACAATTCAAATAATGCAGATGTGTATTAAAAAAAAATTAAAAACTTGAAGCTTCCTTTCCCTCTTCTTTTCACAATGCTATTCCTAAAATATAATCATGGATATAGTTTGCATTATCCTTCCAGATATTCCTGACATATATAAATGTCTATTTATCTGTCTATCTAAATTACTTGGATTTTTTAAATGGCATTTTTCCTTTTCAACTTTATTACTGTGGGGAAGAACATTGATAATTGAATGACATTATGGTGGTATCTAAAGAAAAGCATCTTTCATGTCTTTAAATTCTCTGCTTTAAACTTTCAGATCATCACAGAATACGGTGAACAGGTGTTAGAAGAAACCAAAAAATCTATACATAGTACACCAAGAAAAAAGGGTAAGAATTTTGAAAAGCTTATTTTAAGTGTTCTTTTAAAATATAGTATAACAAAAAGGAAAAAAATATAATTTTCAAGTTATTAGAGATGATTTTCAGAGGTACTCCTCAAATAAAAATTTTCTACTTGTTCCTTCAGACATAAATCTATACTGAATCTTACACATTTAGTTTGCCAGGGATAAAAAAAAAAAAGCCTAGTTTGGAGATTGTAGTGATGTAAAGCTTGTTCTCTGCTTCATTACTAGAACTGTATTTACTCTAGTTTGTTTTGGGTCAGAAAGAAGGCTTCTGTGGCCTCAGCTAGGAATCTAACCCTGAAAATATAACAGGAAATGGTATCCCTAAGAACTATCTTATAAACAAACTTTTTTAATGAAGTCATTTTGAAAGTTGGAACTGTCCACATTACAACTGCATAAAATTTCCGTACACCTATTGTCAATCCTGAGCAAATTTCACATGTAATTTATTGTCTCTTGGCAGTTGTCATCTCTTTTTTCAAAGTTATTTTTGTTCCTTTTCCTTTGACATCAGTGACTCAGATCTTCAATCTGAAGAAATCTAACAATGACCAGAATAAGAGAGAAGAGTTAAGATGAGTAGAAGTTCACCCTCTGTAGGCAGATGTTGTAAAACCTCCATTATTAGTGCCTGTTATCTTAGTGTTCTATACCACAAAACAAACATTTTTATTTTATTTTTTAGGTTTTTTTTTAAAATTTAAGTGTCGTTGATTTATTGTGTCCTGTTGGTTTCAACAGAAACTTTTCTAAACTATACTATTTTCTTAAAGTCAAATTTAAAATGTTCCTTTTGTAAGAACGTAAATCATCCAGTCTTACAATTCAGCCTTTTCTCCTTTACGTAAGAGGTAGCCACTTAGCTTTGCTTCAGCAGTTTGTTTTAGTATTTATTTTATTTTATTTTATGTACCATTTCATAACTTCGGTTCACATCCCAGGGGAGCGGGAAATTAATTTTAAAATACTGGGCAACAGAAGCACCAAAAACAGTCTAAGAAAATTTCAAGATAGTGTAGTTTCAAGACAGGAAAGTATAGTCTTACAATTTCTAAAAGAAAAGAGTAAGCCAGTGGGCAGGGCCACCATGTCCAGAGCCTGTGTCGGGTGGCATCTCCATCGAGAATGTAGACAGTGAGACGTCAGAACAGCGAAAGCTGAGTGAGGGCAGGGACCGTGTCAGATGTGCTCTGTTGTGGCCTCAATACCGTCATCAGATGCTCAGTAGCAATTGCTTAAAACGCTGAATGAATGGGGAAACACGGACCCCAGGCTCTGGCAGCAGATAATCAGACAAGAGCCATCCTCACCCAAGGGGTGGTTGCCGGGGTTTCCCGTGACTGCTGCTGGCTCCTTGTCACGGAATAAGCAGCTGGCTTTGGGAGGGTTAGCTATTCCACCTGCTGTCATGGCTGTCAGGAAAATCACAGACTGGGCAGCTCTTGTGCTAAAGATGCTAATGACCTTTTGAGTATGTAGTGTCTTACCTCCTGATGCCTAAATGGGTTGGCATAAATGAATTCGAGATGTCTTAACTTTCCTATGTTCAGAATAAAATGGCAGAAATAATCTCTTTAACAGCTGAGGTGTGTTATTAGGCGATTAAAACTTGCTATCACTATTCAGGCTAATGCTTCGGTTCTTTGACTTTAAAAACGTCCTTTTGTCTCTCAAGTTTTATGCAAGTCACATTAGAAGCCTTTTTTGTTTTCTTTTTACCTTCTATTTTCTCTTTGAGCAGATCCCAGCAGAACCAGAATAACTTTGGAAAATGAAGCAAGCACAGTGGTAAGTGCTTTAAAGGTAAATTTCCTGGGACTTTCCTGGCAGTCCAGGGCCTTCTAATGCAGGGGATGTGAGTTCGATCCCTGGCCTGGGAGCAAAGATCCCACATGCCTGTGGCCAAAAAACTAAATCATAAAACAAAAGTAAAATTGTAATAAACTCAATAAAGACTAAAAATTGTCCACATTAAAAAAAAATCTTTAAAAAAAAGTTAAATTTCTGAAATCATCTATTGGGGTACCTGGCATCATTGGGTGCTGTGAGATATTTGGAAGTCTGTTGCCTGGTCCCTGGGTTCAGGGGTTTTTTTGTCTTTGGGCCTGTGAAGTAATTGACGGCTGTTTTCTGTGCTGCCAGCCAAGCCACTTTAGACCAGCATTTTACTTTGTTTTTTCATTTCTAATCATTGATGACAAGTGGTTTCAGTCTAGATGTGAACCAACTTAGCCCTCCTTACAGTCATGAAAGTCTTGTTTTAGCCTTGGTTAGTTGGTTTCCTTGTGGTAAAATATATATAACATACCATTTATCATTTCATCCATTTTAAGCATAGAATTTAATGACATTAATTACATTCACAATACTTTTTCATCATCCCAAACAGAAACCCATTGAACAGTAACTATCCATTCCTCTGTTCCCTGACTCCCACCCCAGGCCCTGATAACCTCTTTTCTGCTTTCTGTCTCTATGAAAGAAACGTTATTTGCCTATTGTAGATATTTCAGATAACTGGAATCACACAATATTTGTCCTTTTGTGTCTGGTCTCTTTTGCTTAGCTTAATATTTTCAAGGTTCATACGTGTTACAGCCTGTATCAGAATTTCTTTCCTTTTTATGACTAAATAATATGTAGATCATTAATGTGGGATCTGGAAAGGATTGAAGGCAGAAGGAGAAGAAGGCAACAGGATCAGATGGTTGGATGGCATCACCAATGCAATGGACATAAACTTGGGCAAACTCTGGGAGATGGTGAGGGACAGGGAAGCCTGGCCTGCTGCAGTCCATGTGGTCATGTAGAGTCGTACATGACTTGGTGACTGAACAACAATGTGGTCTTGACATTTTTCTGTTCAAAAACTTCTAGTGCCTCCTCATTATCCCTAATAGCTCAGTTGATAAAGAATCTTCCTGCAATTCAGGAGACCTGGGTTCGATCCCTGGGTTGGGAAGATCCCTGGAGAAGGGAACAGCTACCCACTCCAGTATTCTGGCCTGGAGAATTCCATGGACTGTATAGTCCATGGAGTCGCAAAGAGTCCAACATGACTGAGTGACTTTCACTTCACTCACTATTATCCCATGAATTGAGTGGACATTTTTTAGCCTGGTTTGCAAGGTCCTGTTCATCTTGTTTGGCCTTAGGCATCTGTGCCCTTTTACATGTTAGCTGCAGTTAAGTCATGAATAGTAACAGCCAATCCACTTCCAGTTGCCATACCTACCCCGGTAACTCATGTCCTGTTGATAATTTTTTCTCTCTTCATCATTTTGACCCACCTTTTTTAACTCTCACAGGAAAAGATGTAGTAACAACACACAATTCTGTTTATGGAATATACTAATAATTAAACTTGTAAATTTTTGAATGAACCTTAGGTTGTAAATAAATAACACCATACCCCATTAGGTTGCTACAAATGGAATCTCTTCTGCCCCATGTCTTTTTTATTTGCGTAATATCTGTTTATTTCCAGCTTTACTGAGGCCTAATTTATATGCAATAAAATTTACTCATTTTTAGCTTGCAATTTGATGAATTTTGGTGATTGTATGTGGTCATATAACCAGCACCACAATCAAGATGTAGAAATCCCATCCCCCCAGATGAAAATGCATTTAATGCATCTAACCTACCAAACTTCCTAACTTAGCTTAATATACCTTACATGTGCTCAGAACACTTCCATTACTCTCTAGTTGGGCAAAATCATCTAACACAAAGCCTATTTTATAATAAAGTGCTGACTATCTCATGTCAACATGAGATAGTTTGACATGAGATAGTCTTTTTAAATTTTGAATTCAGCACGAACTGAATTGAGTAATGAACTGAAAGTGAAAATTAGAGGCTGTCTGGGTGCAGAATGGCTGTAAGTGAATTGTTTACTGTTTACTCTTGTGATCACATGGCTGAGTGGAAGCTTCAGCTCTCTGCCACCATCCAGCATCACAAGAAGGTATCACATGGCATATTGCTAACCTGGGAAAAGATCAACTTTCATAATTTGACATACAGTTTCTGCTGAGTATTTATCATTTTCACACCATCATAAAGTGAAAAAATCATAAATTAGACCATCATAATTCAAGGGCCATCTGTAAGGTAATTTTATGTGTACATACATACTCAGTTGCTCAGTCATGTCCAGCTCTTTGCAATCCTATGGACTGTAGCCCACCAGGCTCCTCTGTCCATGGGATTCTCCAGGCAAGAATACTGGAGTGGGTTGGTTGCCATGCCCTCCAGGGAATTTTCCTGACCTAGGGATTAGGGTATCTTCCTGATCCAGGGATTGAACCCTCATCTCCTGCACTGCCGGCAGATTCTTTACTGCTGAGCCACCAGGAAAGCCCCAAAGTAACTTTATAAAATATTTCATTTTGGTATTTCCATCCTGAAAAGCCCAATATAGCAAATCATACTGAAATTTTTCATTGCTTGTTTTCTCTATAAAGACCTCTCAAATATTTCTGTCATTTTTATATATCTTCTTCATATTTGCAATGACTGATAATAATGTCTATTAAGGTATATGACTTAACGTACATATATGTATGCCTATGTATATGCACATATATGGTTTTTAATATACACACATATATGATGTTATGGCTCTTAATGTACATATGTGTATGAGGTTCTCTGGTTGTTAATGTTTAATTCATTTATCTTTAAAGTTTAAGTAGCTGTTTATCTCTACTTGTTTACCTTTTTTTTGTAGCAATTCAAGAATATCTTAATCTTTATTTTAAATTTCTTTTAAAGCAAAGGGAAGAACCGGGTGGAAAGTGTAGCCACACTGACTTAGAAAGCATTAATAAAAATTTGGTTGAAAGTGCACAGAGGATAGTAAACAGAGAGGAGAAAGGTAAGTTATTCAAATTCTAATCATTGTATAGGTGGGAAACTGGGGATATAGAGGGAATATCAGTTTCTACCTTACTAGGTCAGAGATATCATAAGCAAGTAGACAGGCATATTTATATTTGCTTATCAAGTAATTTATTTAATGTTACAGAGATATTTTATTTACCTATTAAAAGAAAAAATTGTATTTATTGATAAGAGCCTTCAGAAGAAAGTATTAATAATGTTTGTTGTGCCCTTTACTCTAAAAAGCACAGCATACAGGGGCTTCCCTGGTGGTCCAGTGGTTAACTTCTAAGGCATGGGGGCGCAGGTTCTATCCCTGGTCAGGGAATGAAGGTCCCACATGCTGTGGGGTGCAGCCAAAAATTGTTTTAAAAAGCATGGCATACAGCATGTACCTGTAAGTCCTCTTGGGCCTTTATTGTTATATATTGTGTAATATGTGAGTATATACATAATATTTTTAAAAATTCACTTTAACAATTAACTTTACCTTTCCATTTGGATTTTTTCATTCCCTTTACTACTTAAGAGTCAGACACAACTGAGCGACTGAACTGAACTTAGACTTGAAAGAGTGTTAGATCCGAATTTGAAAGAGAAAAGAAATAACTTCTGTGGTGTTGTTAGAGAACTTGTGTGTGGATATAGATGAATAAGTAAATGAATATGCTCAGCAATTCTTTATGCTTTAAAAGCCAGTTTGCCAGGTCCTCTCAGGCGACAGTGGGAGAAAAATGTATCCAGTACAGCTCTTAGAGCTTTGGAAAACGCATCCATACTCACCTCCAGTTTAACGGCAGAAGACGACAGAGGTTAGTAGCCAGATTAAATCCTATTATTTTATCATAGAACATTCTCTAATCGTTGTTTAATGAGCTAGAGTTGTGTTTTTTTAAATGTCACTCTTTGAAGGGTATTTGGTGTCACACATGAGAGCAGGTGTATTTCACTTATACAGGCAAGTGAACTAGATCATAGAGAGTTAATTAGTTTCGCTTGAAATATGGGGCTTTAATATAATCTAGAAGATATTATGTGCTGGAAATCTTTTTTACTTGACACGAATTTTTTTGTCTTTTCCCAACTAGGTGGTTCTGTAATAAAGTACAGTGAAAGCAATACCCGTAAGCAGTGGCTCAAGGAGACCCCTGAAACCCTGTTGAACATCCTTAAGAATGCCGACCTCAGCTTGGCCTTTCAAACATACACGATATATAGACCAGGTGATTCATGTCTGCTACATAATTGTGGAAACCCTTTGATTTAAAAAAAAAATTATATATGTGACATAGAAGTTATCATCTTAGCCACTTTTAAGCATACAGTTCAGGAGCATGGAGTCCATACTGTGCAGCCATCACCACGGTCCATCTCCAGAACTTTTCCAAAACGGACACTCTGTACCCCTTAGATAATTCTCTGTACCCATTAGATGATTCCCTGTTCCCCACTCCCAGAAACCCTTCAATCTTAAAGTTATAAAATATTTCAGAGCATTGTCTTTTTCGATTTCCTTGACTCTTTTCTAGCCAGTCTGCAGCCATAATTAGAATTTCTTATAGTGCTTCATCCCTTCTGTTTGCTCATTTGTTTGCTTATTTTATTGTTTTAATATTTCTATTTATTTTATTTGGCTGTGCCAAGTCTTAGTTGTGGCATGTGGGATCTAGTTCTTCCATCAGGGATCGAACCCAGGCCCCCTGCATTGGAAACATGGATTCTTAGCTACTGGACCACCAGGGAAGTCCCTGTTTGCTTATAATAATCTCGTAACCACTTTGAAGTTTGTCTGTTTTTATCCTGGAAATACACCCCACTTTCTCAGCTCTGCAGTTCAGACTTCATCCTGGTAAACTGAGGAACTTCAAGATTTCTTTGGCTCTGTACTTGAATTGTTATATTGAATAGAACACAGAAAAAGGTGAACAACTAGGATTTAATTTTTGTTTGTTTCAACAGACATTTTCAGTACAGTTATACAGCATAATGTTTTATGATAATACCCTTAGGAATCTAGGCCAAAGGACTACATTAAGGGTGTGTACGTGAGGGGTGCATGTGTGTGTAATTTTCACAATGCAGTTACTAAAGCCATCTTGCTTGGTTTAAGATCTAAGATAAATTGTGCCAAGTGGAGCATGTCATGGTGTGGCAAGTCTCAACTCTGTGTATTATAACAGATTCACGGTATTGTTTACTTGGTCAGTGTTTATTGAGTGCCTAACATATACTAGGTTAAGATTTTTTTTTAAAAAAAGAATATAACTCCTTCCCTGAGAGAGTTTGTAATTTGGGGGACCAGCAAACAAGCAGAGCATTGTAGAGCTGTGGGTCACATGTTCTGATAGAGCTGTGTGAAGACAGTTACGGGCCCCAAGGAGAGGTGGATGCCGGGGAGGCAGGTGTTAAGCAAGGCTAGTGATTGCACTTTTATTTTGTTGGCATGCGGGCTCTTAGTTCCATGACTAGGGATTGGACCCCAGAAAGTCCTAAGCACTGAATGTTTAGGGAGTGCCCAATGATTGACTTTCATTTTAGCAGCATAGGTCCCAGATTTTGTCTCTGGTCCAATGATAAAGTTTTTGTCATTTCAAGAAAGTTGCTATATAAAAAAGGCATTACAGCTCTATTGTGAAAGGATTTTTATAAAGACTGAACCCACATTTTTATGTTAGGTTATTGTTTTGTAAGCAAAAACCTGAAAGTAATTATAATACCATCTGGAATTTTTTGTAGTCTGCATGTGCCCTTAACTCCCTAATTTTATTCCCCTCCATTGGGAAAATGAGGGAGAGGGAAGAGCTCAAAAGAGAAACAGTCAACCGCTATCCAGCTGTCCAAAGACAACTTTTAATGCTTTAATATGGGTTCATATGCTGGCTTCCGTGGTGACTCAGTGGTAAAGAACCCACCTGTCAATGCAGGAGACTTGGGTTCGATCCCTGGGTTGGGAAAATCGCCTGGAGGAGGAAATGGCAACCCACTTCAGTATTCTTGCCTGGAAAATCCTATGGACTGAGGAGCCTGGCAGGCTCCAGTCTATGGGGTCACAGTCAGATGCGACTGAGCACACATACACAGAAAACCTCAGAACCTGGCAGTGCTCTCAATTAGCCAGCAAACCTTTGGAGGAATTTAGTGCAAAAATACACATGAAATAAATAAAGACAGCTTAACTTGGCATAATTTCTGTTAATATTCCTCTGAAGGCGCAGAAGGATTCTTGAAGGGCCCCCTGTCTGAGGAAACAGAAGCATCGGATGATGTTGATGGAGGTTGGGATTCTGTCACTTTGGATCCAGAGAGACTTGAACCTGAACTGGATGAAGAGGATACGTACGTGAAGTACCCAGACAGTTGGCAGTGTGTGCGCGTGTTCATTTAAGTTGTAACTTAATAATTCCTGGTTTAGTAGGAGCTGGTTATGTTACTTTACATCATAAATGAATGTTTATATCTTGATCATCTATCTGGCACAGGTAATGTGCTGTGGTGTTTTCATAGAATTCTTGACTGAGCTCTGTGTTTATAATCAGCTTGAACTTACTTTTTAGTAGAGAAGATTTTTTTTTTTTAGATGGATTTTATATTGAAACATTTAGAGAAAGAATGATAGAAGTGAACCTTTGGAAGGCTAACCACTTTTTTTTCCTCTCTTCAGTTTCATTATGGAGTTCATTTTTCAAAAATGTCAGTATTGTCATGGTGGTATTCTGCTTTGATCCCATTAGCAAATATTTACTGTGCTTCTTAAATAGAGGCTTAATATCCAAATTGTTTTTCCACAGGGACTTTGAGGAAGACGACAGTGCCGATTGGGTATCAGAACTGAAGCAGCGAACTGGCTGGCAAGGAGTATCTGATGGATAACACCCAAGGAAATATTCATTAGTCACCCGGAGGGGATGTTTAACAGGAGGAATTGATATTTGAATAATACTTAACTCACAGGATACGTAATTTCCTTTGGAAACAAAGGAAGAGTGAAGAGAGGGAAACTGTGAATATTTAAAATTATTCCTGGTTAGTAAGACAGGGTATAAAAAAATCTAGGTTTTTTAATTCAGAGGAGAACGCATAGCACAGTGGGTATGAGGTTTAGGCTTTACAGTCAGAACAGATGTTGAATGCTACCACCTACTGCTTGCGTGGTTTTGAGAAATTGCTTAACCTCTTTGAGCCTGAATTTCCTCAACTACAAAATGAGGATAACAATGCCTACCTCATATGGATGCTGACCTTAGACCATCACGACAACCCATAATGTTATTTGCGTTGTTATGATTTCTGCTTTATTACCTTGTTATGATTTATTACTATGAAGCTCTTTTTATATCTCCTAAAATTTTTGAGGATCTAAATATATTGTAACATCAGACTGTGTGCAATTTTTCTATAAGACCTATTTCTGGGTAGTCATTAATCATCTTCAGTGATCACCCACTGTCATTAAATATAGCTCCTCGCAGGATGTACAAAAGAGCCCAGATCAGAGGATCAGCCATGGGAAGAGTGGGATAAGGTACAGATCTGGTCAGTAGTTGGTGGTCCTGTATACGAGAAAGGAATCGGGGCAAAGGTGAGGGGTCCATACAGGAAGTAGCAGAAACCAGGGTGTTGTGGAACTCATGGAGGGGGCAGGACCCCCACATGCATGGGTCACCATGACACGTGTTCTGGGACCTGTCATTTCATGCTGTGATGCTTTAGTGAGGGGAGAAGAATTTACTACAGAAACTGACTCTTTTCAGGGGCCTCCACATAGGCAATTAGAATAGCATCAGCCTGGCCTGGTGTAGGAACAATGCTCAAGTCAATATGGGGGAAAGAGTTGTGAGACTACAGTAGGATCATTAATAAAGATCTGCTGAAGTGTGGGATACATATATCTTTGAAAGAATTAAATATATTTTTTAATCTTAATGTACAAAAACTGGTATAGACCTTCCCACCCCCTCTCCATTATTTATACTCAGGCATTTAGTTGTCCTTGGTCTACCAAGGTCTCTAGTGTAAGTTACTAATTTTCCATTTCATGTTCTAGTCACTCTTGAGTGTCTGAGTCACTAAGTTCACCCTATATTCAAGTGGACAGGAATTAAGCCCCACCTGAAGAGGGTGGATAATCCAATACTAAGTCATTTGCTTTGTGGCTTGATTTGTTCTAGCTTTGGCCATTAGGAATTATTTCAGGTTGACTCCTATGTCCCTTTGACATGCACTCATCCTTTTGTGTTTTGAGCAACTCCTTACTTTCTGGCACTACAAGAAGATGGTCATCCAGTGCCTTCTCTGCCTCAGCCCCAGAATCAGCCATTTCTCTGAGGAGTGCTGGTTCCTTTTATGGGTTTAGAGACCAGGATCTGGGCTCTGGGTGTGGTTGTTGCTACTGGGATGTCACTGCTTGTAGCCCCTCTAAGCAGACAGAGCTAGGAAATACATGTATATACTATCCTATCCTGTGTGTACACACGTCCCTGTGTGTGACACTCCCTGGTAGTCTAGTGGTTAGGATTCGGTGCTGTCATCACCGAAGCCCGGGTTCATTTCCCTGTCCTGAGGCTTCCCTGGTGCCTCAGAAGGTAAAGAATACACCCGTAATGCAGGAGACCTAGGTTCAATCCCTGGGTCAGAATGATCCAGCAGAGAAGGGAATGGCATCCCACTCCAGTATTCTGGCCTGGAGAATCCCATGGACAGAGGAGCCTGGCAGGCTACAGTCCTTGGGGTCACAAAGATTTGGACATGACTGAGCAGCTAACACTTACACATATCCAGAGGCAACTTCTGTATCTCTCCATCTGTATTTTGTTTTTTTAAAGCTCAACATGGGTTTGTTATTGATGTCTTGGATTCTGATTCAATACCATTGGGCTCACTCTAACCTTTCCTCCCCCCGCCCCACTCCCCCCAACCCTGCACACCCCTTGCTTTTCTGTATCTTCTCTTTGACAGAAATTTGCTCATATCATCCACCACCCACCTACTTAGTTGTTCAGCTCCAGGATGCATATAAAGCAGTTTCCAAACTGTTAACCTTCACCCCTGTGAGGAACAATTTACCAACTAAAGTACAGAGTTTCTGTCTTGCTCCTATTGTCTTTAGCCTTAAAATTTCAAGTCAAACCACCATTTCCCAGAATGACTTATATTAGCTTTTGTTTTTCTTTTTTTTAAAATCATGATCTTGAAGACTATCAGCCAGACTTGCCTATAAGTTTCCAGGAGGTTCCAGTGGAGGCATGGGTCAACAGTGGCCTGCTGCAGGGTTAGGGGCATGGAATACAATAGTTCTGGGAGCTGCTGGCAGAAGTCCTTTTGAAGGAGGTCACCATTACCCCTACCATAGTTGACCTCAGGCTAAACTACAGGGAGGGAACACAGCCCCACCCATCAATAGGAAATTACATTAAAGATTTACTGAGCAAGGCCCTGCCCATCAAAGCAAGACCCAGAATGCCTTACAGCCAGTCCCTCCCATCAAGAAGCTTCCACAAACCTCTCATCCACCAGAGGGCAGACAGGATGAAAATCACAATCACAGAAAACTAACCAGACTAGTCACATGGACCACATCCTTGTCTAACAGTGAAACTATGAGCCATGCCATGTGGAACCACCCAAGATGGATGGGTCATGGTGGAGAGTTCTGACAAAACATGGTCCACTGGAGAAAGGAATGGCAAGCCACTTCAGTATTCTTGCCTTGAGAACCCCATGAACAATATGTAAAGGCAAAAAGATACGACGCTGAAAGATGAACTCCCCAAGTCATTAGGTGCCCAATATAGTTCCAGAGAAGACTGGAGAAATAGCTGCAGAAAGAATGAAGAGGCTGGGCCAAAGCAAAAACAATGCCCAGTTGTGGATGAGACTGGTGATGGAAGTAAAGTCCGATGTAAAAAAACAATATTGCATAGGAAGCTAGAATGTTAGGTCCGTGAATCAAGGTAAATTCAGTTAAATTCAGTTGCTCAGTCACGTCTGACTCTTGTGACCCAGTGGACTGCAGCAAACCAGGCCTCCTTTTCCATCACCAACTCCTGGAGTTTACTCAAACTCCTGTCCATTCACTTGGTGATGCCATCCAAGCATCTCATCCACTATCCTCCCCTTCTCCTCCCTCCTTCAATCTTTCCTAGCATCAGGGTCTTTTTCAATGAGTCAGTTCTTTGCATCAGGTAGCCAAAGTATTGGAGTTTCAGCGTCAGCATCAGTCCTTCGAATGAATATTCAGGACTGATTTCCTTTAGGATGGATCTCCTTGCAGTCCAAGGGACTCTCAAGAGTTTTCTCCAGCACCACAGTTCAAAAGCATCAATTCTTTGGCACTCAGCTTTCTTTATAGTCCAGCTCTCACATCCATACATGACTACTTGAAAAACCAGAGCTTTGACTAGACAGACCTTTGTTGGCAAACTAATGTCTCTGCTTTCTAATATGCTGTCTAGGTTTGTCATAACTTTCCTTCCAAGGAGTAAGCGTCTTTTAATTTCATGACAGCAGTCACCATCTACAGTGATTTTGGAGCCCCCCCTCCCCCAAATAAAGTCAGCCACTGTTTCCACTGTTTCCCCATCTATTTGCCATGAAGTGATGGAACCAGATGCCATGATCTTAGTTTTCTGAACTTTGAGTTTTAAGCCAGGTTTTTCACTCTCCTCTTTCACTTTCATCAAGAGGCTCTTTAGTTCTTCTCGCTTTCTGCCATAAGGGTGGTGTCATCTGTATATCTGAGGTTATTGATATTTCTCTCAGCAATCTAGGTTCCAGCTTGTGCTTCATCCAGCCCAGAATTTTGCATGATGTACTCTGCATATAAGTTAAATAAGCAGAGTGACAATATATAGCCTTGATGTACTACTTTCCCGATGTGGAACCAGTCTGTTTTTCCATGTCCAGTTCTAACTGTTGCTTCTTGACCTGCATACAGATTTCTCAGGAGGCAGGTCAAGTGGTCTGGTATTCCCATCTCTTGGAGAATTTTCCAAAGTTTGTTGTGATCCACACAGTCAAAGGCTTTGGTATAGTCAGTAAAGCAGAAGTAGATGTTTTTCTGGAACTCTCTTGCTCTTTCTATGATCCAATGGATGTTGGCAATTTGATCTCTGGTTCCTCTGCCTTTCCTAAATCCAGTTTGGACATCTGGAAGTTCATGGTTCACGTACTGTTGAAGCTTGGCTTGGAGAATTTTGAGCACACAGTGGAGTTTTCCAAATTTGCTGGCACATTGAGTGCAGCATTTTCACAGCATCATCTTTTAGGATTTGAAATAGTTCAACTATAATCCCATCACCTGCACTAGCTTTATTCATAGTAATCCTTTCTAAGGCCCACTTAACTTCACATTCCAGGATGTCTGGCTCTAGGTGAGTGATCACACCATCATGATTATCTGGGTCATAAAGATCTTTTTTGTATAGTTCTTCTGTGTATTCTTGCCACCTCTTCTTAATATCTTCTGCTTCTGTTAGGTCCATACCATTTCTGTCCTTTATTGTGCCCATGTTTACATGAAATGTTCCCTTGGTATCTCTAAGTTTCTTGAAGAGATCTCTAGTCTTCCCATTCTATTGTTTTCCTCTATTTCTTTGCACTGATCACTGAGGAAGGCTTTCTTATCTCTCCTTGCTATTCTTTGGAACTCTGCATTCAAATGTGTTTATCTTTCCTTTTCTCCTTTGCCTTTTGCTTTTCTTCTTTCCAAAATTATTTGTAAGGCCTCCTCAGACAACCATTTTGCTTTTTGCATTTCTTTTTCTTGGGGATGGTTGATCACTGCTTCCTGTACAATGTCACGAACCTCTGTCCATAGTTCTGGGAGTTGTCAAACAGGAGAAAGCAAGAGTGAACATCGATATTTTATGAATCAGTGAACTAAAATGGGCCAGAATGGGTGAATTTAATTCAGATGACCGTTACATCTACTACTGTCCTTTTCATCATATGGGACTGGAATGCAAAAGGAGGAAGTCAAGAGTTACCTGGAGTAACAGGCAAGTTTGGCCTTGGAATACAAAATGAAGCAGGGCAACGGCTAACAGAGTTTTGCCAAGAGAATGCACTAGTCATAGCAAATACCCTCTTCCAACAACACAAGAGATGACTCTACATGTGGACATCACCTGATGGTCAATACCGAAATCATACTGATTATGTTCTTTGCAGCCAAAGATGGTGAAACTCTATACAGTCAGCAAAAGCAAGACTAGGGGCTGACTGGGGCACAGATCATGAACCCTTATTGCCAAATTCAGACTTAAATTGAAGAAAGTAGGGAAAACCACTAGACCATTCAGGTACGACCTAAATCAAATCCCTTACCATTATACAGTAGAAGTGACAAATAGATTCAAGGGATTAGACCTGATAGACAGAGTGCCTGAAGAACTATGGACAGAGGTTTGTGACATTGTACAGGAGGCAGTGATCAAGACCATCCCCAAGAAAAAGAATTGCAAAAAGGCAAAATGGTTATCTGAGGGGGCCTTACAAATAGCTGAGAAAAGAAGAGAAGCAAAAGGCAAAGGAGAAAAGGAAAGATACACCCATCTGAATGCAGAGTTCCAAAGAATAGCAAGGAGAGATAAAAAAGCTTTCCTCAGTGATCAGTGCAAAGAAATAGAAGAAAACAGTAGAATGGGAAAGGCTAGAGATCTCTTCAAGAAAATTAGAGTTACCAAGGGAATGCTTCATGCAAAAATGGGCACAATAAAGAACAGAAACAGTATGGACCTAATAGAAGCAGAAGATATTAAGAAGAGGTAGCAAGAATACACAGAAGAACTATACAAAAAAGATCTTTATGACCCAGATAATCATGATGGTGTGATCACTCACCTAGAGCCAGACATTCTGGACTGCAAAGTCAAATGGGCCTTAGCAAGCATCACAAAGGTAATGGAGATGATGGAATTCCAGCTGAGCAATTTCAAATCCTAAAAGATAATGCTGTGAAAGTGCTGCACTCAATATACCGGCAAACTTGGAAAACTCAGCTGTGGCCACAGGACTGGAAAAGGTCAGTTTTCATTCCAATTCCAAAGAAAGGTAATGCCAGAGAATGCTCAAACTACCACACAATTGCACTCATCTCACACGCTAGCAAAGTAATGCTCAAAATTCTCCAAGCCAGGCTTCAACAGTACATGAACCAAGAACTTCCAGATGTTCAAGCTGGATTTAGAAAAGCAGAGGAACAAGAGATTAAATTGCCAACATCCACTGAATCATAGAAAGATCAAGAGAGTTCCAGAAAAACATCTACTTCTGCTTTATTGACTATGCTAAAGACTTTGACTGTGTGGATCACAACAAACTTTGGAAAATTCTCCAAGAGATGGGAATACCAGACCACTTGACCTGCCTCCTGGGAAATCTGTATGCAGGTCAAGAAGCATCAGTTAGAACGGGACATGGAACAATGGACTGGTTCCACATTGGGAAAGGAGTATGTTAAGGCTATATATTGTCACCCTACTTATTTAACTTATATGCAGAGTACATCATGCAAAATTCCAGGCCAGATAAAGCACAAGATGGAATCCAGATTGCCAAGAGAAATATCAATAACCTCAGATATACAGACAACACCACCCTTATGGCAGAAGTTGAAGAGAAACTAAAGAGCCTCTTGATGAACGTGAAGAGGAGAGTGAGAAACCTGTCTTAAAACTCAACATTAAAAAAACTAAGATCATGGCATCTGGTTCCATCACTTCATGGCAAATAGATGGGGAAACAGTGGAAACAGTGACAGATTTTATTTTGGGGGGCTCCAAAATCACTGCAGATGGTGATTGCAGCCATAAAATTAAAAGACGCTTGCTCCTTGGAAGAAAAGCTATGACCAAACTAGACAGCACGTTAAAAAGCAGAGACATTAGTTGGCTGACAAAGGTCTGTCTAGTCAAAGCTCTGGTTTTTCCAGTAGTCGTGTATGGATGTGAGAGTTGGACCATTAAGATAGCTGAGCACCGAGGAATTAATGTTTTTGAACTGTGGTGTTGGAGAATACTCTTGAGAGTCCCTTGCACTGCAAGTCAAGTGACTTGACTTGTCAAACAAGTCAATCCTAAAGGAAATCAGTCCTAAATATTCATTGGAAGGACTGATGCTGAAGCTGAAGTCCCAATACTTTGGCCATCTGATGGGAAGAACTGACTCCCCGGAAAAGACCCTGATGCCGGGAAGGGTTGAAGGCAGGAGAAGAAGGGAACAACAAAGGATGAGATGGTTGAATGGCATCACTGACTGGATGGTTATGAGTTTGAACAAGCTCCGGGAGTTGGTGATGGACAGGGAAGCCTGGCAGGCTGCAGTTCACGGGGTGGCAAAGAGTCGAACACAACTGAGCTACTGAACTGATTGATCTTGAAGACATTCAACAATTAATGTAGGCAGGGATGGTTTAAAGGATATTTCCAGGTAATCAGCTTCCATAAATACTGTATTTGATAACTCTTAGTTATCTCAAATTTTAGCACTGTCCCGGGTGGGAACACTTCCAAACCAATCAACAAAGGAAACTTGAAACTGTATAGTTACTGAGTGGAACAAGGGTTTGGCTTATAATAGAATTTCAAGAAACTCTAATGGATGATTAGAACACAATTTTAGTGATAGATTACTATATGATTCTTGACATACAACTAGGCAAGAATTGAGAATCACTTTTAGCAAAAACTTTCAATTCCATTTACTGACACGAATGAGGCTTTTCAGGACTTTTGCAGCTTAAAAAGAGATTAAAGTGAGAATTGATGAAATAAAATTATTTTTAAGGCAGGATAAGAAACAATTTAAACATAAAAATTTCTCTCTGCCAGTTTGGACCACTGCCCCCTTTTCAGTGAGTATTGTTTTTGTGGGTTATACCTTAGGTCCCCTCAGAAGACACAGGCATGTCTGCTCCCCCCCAAAACACAAACAAAATGGCAATTTTCTCTTGGGGTCAGCAAGGGAATAACGTTTCTTTCTTAATCATGTTGGACTATGTTAACTGTCAATATGTTACTTTGACATTATCACCCTTTGGACCACTAATTTTAATGAATTTTTTAAAGCATATGATTAGGAAATAGAAATTAACTTCCATTTATATGATAGGGTGATCAGGAAGCTTTTGAGCCATGAAAAACATTACGTATGGAAATATGAGTTCAATGAGAAAGGAATGATGTTCTGAAGAAAAGCTTCTGATTCTTAAAGGACAGCTTCCTTTTTTTTATTAACTTAACAGATGATGCCGGGTTTCAGATCGCCATGGTATCTACATTCCGTTGGTTATGTTTCACTTGTGTCAGTATTTATAATTGCTGGAAATTACATCTTTTTAGCTCCTTAAACAGGTAATGAAACGTTTCCGACGGCAGCTTGGTGTACAGTGGGAGAGAGGATTGGAAGCAGGGCGATGGGGCGGTGCTGAGGGAGCGTGTTTTGTAGACCACTGGGCAGCAGCCAGTTTCCTAAGGGGACCCCATGGAGGCCGCTCGCTGCGGCCAAAAGAGCAGGGCTCCGCTCTAGTCTCCATCTCTTGACAGTATTTGAGACCCTGCTCGAGAAACTCTTCCTGCCTCAGTCCCGCTCAGTTGTAAAACTGGGTAACTACTACCTTCCTTGCTCGGTTGTTGCAAAGTATAGAGATAATATATGCAAAGCATCTGGTACACCGTCAGCTTGTGGAGTGTTAGCAGAGGTGTCCGGACCTAAGGCAACCGAGCAAACTGCCCGGTCCTCTTCCGGGTGGACGGTGTGGGCGCGTCCCCGGCCGCTCGCGCCCCGCGCCCCTCCCGCCTTCCCCCGCGCAGCTCCGCCCCGGCAGCCCGCCCGGAGGCGCCACAGCCGAGGGAACCCTGCCCCACCGAGGACGCTTCTCTCGCCCAGCGAAGCAGGTAAGCAACGGGCGGCGCCCTCAGCCTGGACCCGGAGCTGCCCCCCAGGGCTCCCGGAGCCGCGGGGAAGAGTGCAGCCCCCGCCTGCGAAGGCGCGCTCTGCTGGGGAGCTGCCTTGGGTCCCGCGCCGCGTCGGTCTCCGTGGCAACGTGCTGCGCTGCGGGCTCCTGGCTCCAGCGGAGGTCTGCAGCCCTCCAGCCCGCCGCCACCCGGAGTGTTCCTAAGGGAGCGAGAGTTTCCCCCGACCCCGAAACTTAGGGGCTTCCACCCGCTGGTGCCTCCTGGGCGGGGGACTCTCGGTTGCTCGGTCCCCGCGCTGGTGGCTTTAAGTTCCCATTCCGCGTCCGCCTCCCTCAACACCGGGCCCTCAGGTGTCCCCAGCCTCCCCTGGCTGCGGAGCTGGCTCCCATTCTATACCCCTAATCGTCCCCCCTTCCTCCACTGACAGATTACTCAGAAACATAACCTGTCTTCTCACTCAGTTTTTTAAAATCAGCGTGATGCCCTAACCGTAGTCTAATGTGTGTGTGTGTGTGTGTGTGTGTGTGTGTGTGTGGTGTTAGTCTCCACGGACTATAACTCTCCAGGCTCCTCTGTCCATGGGAATCTCCAGGCAAGAATACTGGAGTGGGTTGCCATTCCTTCTCCAGGGGATCTTCCCAACCAGGGATCGAACCCAGGTCTCTGTCATTGTGCAAATTTTTTGCTGTCTGAGACACAAAGAAAGTAGTGGCTACCATAGTCTAATGGGAAAAAGGAATGGAACAGCTTACCCAAAGTCCCCAAGGCTGGTGGCTGGCAGAAGGGCGCCAGACCAGGCAGCTTTCAGAGAGGTGGGAGGTGATCAGAGCCAAGTGCTGGGCCTCCAGGACCTGCCAGAGACAGTTCAGAAACAACCCTATGGGGCTTCCTTGTGGCTCAGTGGCCTGCCAACGCAGGGGAGGGATTGGTCCTTCTGTAACAGGAGAGAAAGGAGCAGGGCACAACTTTTGAAAGAATGATAGCCCAGGGATACGACATAAACCATTTAGAATCAAATGGGACCAAGATGGCAGACAAGACTAGACCTTGATCCTCAATCAGCAAGTGAAATAACACACCCAGAGGTGCCCTGACAGTTCCAAGGCACTGTCAGAAGACCAAGGAGTGGTCCAAATCCTGGAAATCTCCACCCCTCCCCCAAATAGTTAGAATAATCCTCCCACTCATTAGCATATGAAATTACCCAACCTGTAAAAGCTAACCATGCCACACTTCACAGCCACACTCGCCCTCTGCGATGGCCCACACTCTGTCTGTGGAGTGCATTTCTCTCTGAATCTGAATAAATCCACTTCTTACCTATCACTTTGTGCATCAAGAACCTGAGCTACATTAGGTCCTGAAACCAGGTACTGTGGGTTTTGGCTGGGTTTGAGTCCCAGCCACGTAGGTTCGAGTCCCAGTTCGAGGTAAACAATTTCACCTCCCTGGCCCTGGAGGATCCCACGTGCTGGGGAGCAGTCAGAACCGGTCAGTCACAAGTACTGAGCCTGTGCTCTAGAGCCCCGGGAGCTCACGTGCCCTGGAGCCTGTGCTCTGCAACGAGAGGCCCCTGTAAAGAGAGGCGTGTGCACCGCCGCTGTGGAGTGGCCACTGCTCTCTGCAACTCGAGAAAAGCCCAGGCAGCACCGAAGACCCAGCACAGCCAAAATAAATAAAATTTAAAAAAAAGAAAAGAAACAACCCCGAAGGGAATCACTGGCCCATCTTTTTGCCCATGGGCTATTGACGGTGTGTCCATGTTACAAGCACAGTGTTTCCCGAGAGACAGTAGAGGAAAGGGGATCACCCCACTTACTACCCAGGGGAAATTCACCTTCCCCTCTCAAGAAGCCAGGAGCCCGGACTGAGGGTGACAAACCCAAACCAAAGGAGCTTAAGTGCCAAAAGGAATTTCAGGCCTTATATTAAAAACTGAAGGTAACTGGCCCAGTAGGCATGGATGGGGCTTTTGTGCCCCCTTGCCATCCTGAATCTTATCAGGTAAATCTAAATGCCATAGTGCCTGTCTTTATCAAGTCTTCAATCTGTCAGTGCTTGGTACTACTATGAAGAAGTAGTGAAGTAGCAGGGAGTCACCTAACAAGGACAGCCACAAACTTTTAGATCTCTGCTCCCAGGAGCAGTCTGGCCAGTGGAGGAATGATTTTTCCAAAACGGTGAACAGTTCTTGGTAAATATCCGAGGAAAACAAGGTCCAGTCAAGCCTCGATTGACACGTAGTTGCATTCCCCGAAAATTCAGTGTTAATTAAAGTTGCGCTAAACGTATTTTGCATTTAGATGTAAAATAGTTTGGTAGTAGCCACAGACAACTATAAACCGATTTTTCCATGCACAGGAATGTGTTCGGAGACGTTCTAAGGTGGTGAGGCTGCTGGATAATCCTTTACTATGCAGGGCTGTCCCTTGCATCACAGAATCTTAGTATCTCAGACCTTGTGTGTGTGTGTGTGTGTGTGCTCAGTCGTGTCCGACTCTTTGCGGCCCTGTGGACTGTATCCCGCTATCCTCCTCTGTCCCTGGAATTTTCCGGGCAAGATTACTGGAATGCATTGCCAGTTCCTACTCCAGGGGATCCTCCCGACCCAGGAATTGAACCCACATCTGTGTTTCCTGCATTGGTAGGTGGATTCTTTATCACTGAGCCACCTGGGAAGTCCTATCTCAGACCTTGCTGGGCTTTGCTTAGCCACTCAGTCGTGTCTGACTCTTTGAGACCCCATGGACTTGTAGCCTGCCAGGCTCCTCTGTCCATGGAATTCTCCAGGCCAGAATACTGGAGTGAGTAGCCTTTTCCTTCTCCAGGGGATCTTCCCAAACCAGGGATCAAACCCAGGTCTCCCGCATTGCGGGCAGATTCTTTTTTTTTTTTTTTTTAAATCAATTAACATAGTTATTAGGACTTTAACGCACAGACACATTTCCAGATTCGATGTGATCAGAATTAACATTTGGCAAAAAATACAAAAGCTGATTTTAACAGTCATATGATTCTCTTTTGTACCCCGAAAAAGAAAAACAAACATGAAAAACTAAATCGAACTTGGAAACTCACATTTCCCAATGTCCTGTGTCAGTATACAAAGGAACAGCATATCAAATATTGTAATACTACCATTAACATATGCATTTACATGAAATTGAATGAAACACCCACAAAATAAACACATACTTCTAGACTCAATGTTTGACAAGCCAGATAACATTCAATGAATGAAACTGAGAGGGTTACAGGCAGGAAGGCCAGGGGTCTCCAAAGGGAAGAAATAGGCTGCAAGTGTCAGACATTTTTTCTCTCTCTCTTAAGAGGAGAGAGGAAACAAGCTAGTGTTATCTTTTTTCCCTTTCTCTATACAAATTTAAGAAGAGGTTTTTTTTTTTGAAATTCTGTGTTGCTATAATGACACCTGGTTCCACCTGACCTTAACTTTTCTCAGATCTTGAGCTAACCAAGGCATTTTTCTTATGGAAATGTTTGCCTTAAGCTATGTGAATGTACTATGTATTTACCCTAGACTCTATCTTCAAGTAGGTTCTGCCTAAAGGCTCAGAACTGACTTCACAAGTCAATATGCTCTACTCATAAATTGTTCTCCTAATCTATGTTAATGAAGCTATATATTTGCTCATGTCAATCGTTTTATGGCCCAGGATGACTCACCTGGTGCCATCTCCAGGTATCTTGTGAATGAGGGGCCTGCTGCCATTCCTTTCTCTAATTAGTAGACTGCTAGTAGCTATATAACATCAGCTGAAGACAAGTAGGGGGCACTCTTTCTGCCCCCTTCTGATGTCTGTGTCAGAAGCTTTCTCTCTTTTATACTTTAATAAAACTTTGTGATACAAAAGCTCTGAGTGATCAAGCCTCATCACTGGCCCCGGATTGAATTCTTCTCCTGAGGAGGCCAAGAATCCCAGCATCTTTCACGGTTAGGCAACAACCTTTCAAAACATTGGTCTTTTCAAAAAATGATGAAAAGTGATAAGCATACATATGCATATGAATGAAATGGGACCTGTATCTCAAACCACATAAAAATAAATCCTCCCTCAACATAAATACAACACAATCAGCCCTTCATATGCATAGATTCTCTAACTATGAAGTCATACAAATATGGACGTAAAATATTGTGATAAATTCCAAAGTTTAAAAGTGGTGAATATTGACTTTCACCTGCTGGCACTTCTTTACATGTCATCTCCATTATATTAGCTATGACAATGAATCATGTGCTGTAGTAAGTCATTTACACTGTGTCCAACTCTTTGGGATCATATGGAGTAGGGCCCACCATGCTCCTCTGTTCATGGGATTCTCCAGGCAAGGATACTGGAGTGGGTTGCCATGCTCTCCTTCAGGAGATCTTCCTGCCCCAGGGATCGAACCCATATCTCCTATGTCTCCTGCATTGGCAGGTGGGTTCTTTACCACTAGCACCACCTGGGAAGCCCCAAGACACATGAACATCAGTGGATTGGGGGATCCACATGGTATAGACAGAACCATTCCTCAAAGAAAACTGATGACTTTAAAATCTCAAACAAAACATGACTATACGTGTTTACAACCTTCGTGTAGCAAGGGTTTCTTCAATCTGACAAGTGCCATGGACCGATGAAGGACTATGTGAAGAATACTTCAAAGTCGATTTGGCAAACACAGCCTAAGTTGGCATGTGTGCTTTAAATCCATCAAGTGTGTCCAAATAACTGAAAATCTCAGTAACACTCCAGAAAAAGTTCAAGGGAAGCTGTGATGCTCACCGCCCTTGAAGGAGTCCACATGGAATGAAGAAGGACTGTGGGAAGTCTGTTAGTAACCACCATGTCTTGAGTCCTCCGGATGACCTCTGGAAAGGCCACCGGACCCGACTGCCCGCCCGGGGCGCGCCGCCTTCCAGACGTCTTTCCCTTCTTTCCTTCTCATCCCGCTCCGCAAGGGTGCGCGGGCGGATTCTTTACCATCTAAGCCACCAGGGAAGCCAATGGCTTCTAAATGAGGTAGTATCTGCCTCTCCCATCTCTGAGAACGGGAAAAACTCTGGAAGTTTCCAAAATGTCCCGTAGGGGGCAGTGCTTCCCCTTTGAGAAAGGCAAGTGCAAAACCACACAAGCAGAAGCTTTGTGCTTCCTAGAGGTGCCAAGATCAGGATATTATATTTTTCTTTCTCAGAACAAACTTGAAAAACAGGAATTGTTGTTTCCATTTTAGAAATTAGGAAAGTGAGGTTTTATGAAGTTAAGTGACTTGCCCAAGATCACCACACTAGGTTGTATCAAAGGTGAGCTGTAGCCCAAGCCTGACCTCCGGGCCTGCTAAGAGGCTCTGTCTCACTTTGGTCGTTTTACCTGTAGCCACAAGGAACGTTAGATGACTTAGTCTGGGCAAAATTAGAATGAAAGTTTTAGCAAAACAAGTTCTGTTACATGGTAGTGGTCAATTTTCTGACTTCATGTGCAATAAAATTTCATTGCTCTCATTTCAGGTAACTCCATGTATTGGAGACCATGGATCAATATGACGTGATTGAAGCCATTGGGGAAGGTGCCTTTGGGAAAGCATACTTGGCCAAAAGGAAACCGGATAGTGAGCACTGTGTTATAAAAGAGATCAATTTTGAAAAGGTAAAGTTAAGTTACAATTCCTGTTCATTTTCAGTGCTATATTCAGCTAGCTTTTAATCCAATTTGTCAAGGAAATGCATCTTTTTCTTTTTTTTTTTAACAAATATAAGTGAGTTGACTTTTGTTTGTTCAGTCTTCTAAACCCATTGTCCAAACAGCAACCAGTGAACTTATTTTTATTTTAAAATTTTATTTTGTTTTTTGACCGCCTCTCTCATCACGGGGGATCTTAATTTCCCCCACCAGGAATTGAACCCATGCCTCCTGCAGTGGAAGCAGGGAGTCTTAACCACTGGACCGACAGGGAAGTTTGAAATGATTTTTTTTTTTTTTTTTTGAGAAGAAAAGAAAAAACAATGTCATCACCCTGTCTACTATGGTACTCCTTACAGTGATAACATCTTTTTTTTTAATATCCTATGGCATGTCTATGGGAGGCCCCTTCTCCCTAGCTCTGACTCCTCTGTTTTGCACAAGAGTGGTGCATTTCCTCTGTCACTCTTAATATAGGTCACCTCCACAAGGAGACCTTCCCCAAACATCCTATCTAAGACAACTCCCTGACTTTAATCACTCCTTATCACACCAGCCTGGTTTATTTTCTTAGTAGCATTTACAATGATCTGGGATTACTTTGTTCATTTATTTCTTATCTGTCTCCTCCAGCATGCAGAACCATGCCAGCACATAATATTGCTCAAAAATATTGCTCAGAAATATTTATGAAATGCATTGAAGGAATGGAAGGAAACCATATATTATTATTAGTCTGGTATTTTTGGAGAATAATTAAATATATTTAATTTAAGAGGAATTATTTTGGCTAAATTCCCTAGAAACTTTTGCTAATTAAGAAAATAGTATGTGTAGAATGGCCACCTGATGTGAACAGCTGACTCACTGGAAAAGAGGGCACCTGCCTTCAGTCTTTCCCTGATGCTGGGAAAGATAGAGGGTAGAAGGAGAAGAGGGCATCAGAGGATGAGATGGATGGATGGCATCACTGATGCAATGGATGTGAACTTGGGCAAATTTTGGGAGATGGTGAGGGACAGGGAGGCCTAGTGTGCTGCAGTCCATGGGGTCACAAAGAGTCGGACATGACTGGGCGACTGAACAACAACATGTGTAGAATGACACAATTTTCGTAAAAATATATGCATTATCTCTGTATATAGGTATGTATATTCCCACAGATATATTCTCATAGGTATAAGAAACATACTAGATAGTTTTATCTAGGTGGAATGTGGGTTATGAGTAATTTTTGCCTTGTGCTTTTGTATCAGTTCACTCTGCGGATTAGTTTTGACAGCCCTCTCTGATTTGTTTGCAAATTCCACTTCAACCTCCTCTTCACATCCTTTTCTTTTTTCCTACACACAGATCCCTCCCACTCCAGCCTCTGTGCTTGCCCAAGGGGCCCTTTCTTTCAAGAAGGTTTTTGCCTGCCCAGGAAGACTTGACTTATTCAGGGCTGAGCCCTAGGAGAGTTTCCAGGACTTTCCCACTCTAAGTAGTCTCTCTTTGTCAGCTCCATAGATTTTATTCATAATGCTGTTATGACACTGAATGTTTTCTACTCTGCTGTGCTTTAACTGTTTATTTTGTACCCTCTCCTCCAAACTATATGTTCTTTGCAGGCAGAATCCGTGTCTTTTTCATCTTGGTATTCAAAACAGCAGCTAAGAATGCTTCGCACCAGTAGCAGTTCAGTAAATCCTTATTGGATTGATAATTCAATGCATAGATACTTGCAGGCCTTCTAGCTCTATTGTTAAGCTGGTACATACTTTGCTGTTGCTGTTCAATTGCCCAGTTGTGTCCGACTCTTTGCCACCCAATGAACTGCAGCACGCCAGGCTTCCCTGTCCTTCACTATATCCTGGAGTTTGCTCAAACTCATGTTCAGTAAGTCGATGATGCCATCCAACCATCTCATCCTCTGTTGCCCCCTTCTCTTTTTGCCTCCAATGGATCTTTTCTAATGAGTCAGCTTTTCAAATCAAGTGGCCAAAGTATTGGAGCTTCAGGTTCAGCATCAGTCCTTCCAATGAATATTCAGGGTTTTTTCTTTTAGGATTGACTGGTTGGATCTCCTTGCAGTCCAAGGGACTCACAAGAGTCTTCTTCAGCACCACAGTTCGAAAGCATCAATTCTTCGACACTCAGCCTTCTTTATGGTCCAACTCTCACATCCGTACATGACTACTGGAAAAATCATAGCTTTGACTATACATTGTTTTGTCAGCAAAATGATATCTCTGTTTTTTAATATGCTGTCTAGATTTGTCATAGTTTTTCTTCCAAGGAGCAAGCGTCTTAGAAATGATCAGTTCAGTTCAGTCGCTCAGTCGTATCTGACTCTTTGCGACCTCATGGACTGTGATGCCATCCAACCATCTCATCTTCTGTCGTCCCCTTCTCCTCCCACCTTCAATCTTTCCCAGCATCAGGGTCTTTTCCAATGAGCTGGCTCTTCGCATCAGGTGGCCAAAGTATTGGAGTTTGAGCTTCAGCATCAGTCCTTCCAATGAATACTCAGGACTGATTTCCTTTAAGATTGACTGGTTGGATCTCCTTGCAGTGCAAGGGACTCTTAAGAGTCTTCTTCAACATCGCAGTTCAAAAGCATCAATTCTTCAGCGTCAAGAGCACCAGTGTTAGAAATTATAAAACCATTTAAATTCTAAGTAAAGAAAAAGCCATGTGGGAGGTGAATCCTCTATGGAAATATATATTAATGCGTTTTTAACATCTCTCATTCTTTACTATATGTAATTAAACAAACTGACTTTATATATTTCTAATAGAGCCCTGAATTTTTTCACTCGTGAAGACCATAGTCCTCATGCTGTAAATAAGTAGAATTTATATGAGGGAGGCTATTGTTATCATTATTTTCCTGTATCTCTTTGTGTTATCAAATTTGCCTGGCAACATCTGTGTTACAGAATTAATATTTATTACTTCTTCCTTTCTACCCTAATGTAGTTTTTCATTCTTATCTGGAGAAATTTACATTTCTTCTCAGCTCTCCAGCACCTCTCCACGAAGCAAACTCTAGACTCCAGAACTTAAATTGCCAATTTTTTTTTACAGGTACCAAAAAGCTATGTATTTTCTCTAATCCTACCATTATCAAGCATATTCTTTTATATCTTGCCTTCAAAAATGTATCCTTTTTATTGTGAACACTAAAATATTCATTGAAGAAATTTTGAAAAAACTGTAGGGAAAAATAAGATTATTTAGAGGAAAATAAAAAATTACTTACAATCTCTCTCTTTATCACTGTTAACATTATGGTGATCTTCTCTCCAGGCTACTTTTAATGCCTAAATGTACCTTATAAGTTATTAGACTATATTAGAATGATTGATATCATGCTGGATATACTCTTTTATATCAGCTTTTTACTCTTAGTATATTGTAAACATTTTCTCATTTCAACGTTTTCATGTAATAAAATGTTCTCATATAGTAACATCAAATGTTTACAATAATGGTGGACACCTAGCATAGGTCAGTTATCCCGGGTGTTTCACTTACATTAATCTATTTAAGCCTCACAACAACCCTAAAAGGTGGATCTCATTATCCTCATTGTTCAGGTGAAGAGGGTGGGGCTCAATGAGGTTAAGTGATTTGCTTACTGACCAACAGACCCTTCTAACTCTTTCTGCTGTAACTGTTCTTCCCTGGATTGTTGATGACTGCATAGTGTGACATTAGGTTCAAAATATTGTATCATAATTTATCTAACTCTTTTTCTATTTCAGATAATTATATTACTTGATTTTTTTTGCTATGATTAAATAGCATTTAATATATAGAATAAGTTACTTTTCTTAAGCAAACTGTGTACTCATGTTTATCTACATGTACATTAAATTAAAAGGTCTAACAATTTACAGCAATTACTGTTAAGGAGTCAGTGGGAAGGAAAGGGGGAAGTTTTACTTTCATCTTATTCACTTCTATCTGACTTAAAATATTTTTTCAAATCATAAGTATATACTGTTAATTGAAAACTAATAATAAAAAAACTAATAGTAAAGAACTGTAATGAAGGCTTTTGTATGAGAACACTTGGGCACATACGTTTTTGATTATTTTCTTTGGATAAATTTCTAGAAGCATTAATAAGTTAAAAATAGGAGCATTTTAAAGTCTCTTTTAGACATTAAAAAGTTGTTTTCCTGGAAAGATTTTTACCATCTTATATAAATATTTACCCCAGAAGTATACAAGTGCCATTTTCTGCTTTCTGGTTAACTATGGGTATTAACATTCTTTTGTCTACACTAGTTTCACAGATGAAATATTATATTAAATTTTGTTTTAGTCTTTTTTCTTCTGATTACTGAGCGAGGTTGAATCTTTCTATTTCTGAGCCATTTTTAACTTCTTTTATTTTTTTGAGAGTTGTCTAGTCATGTATTTTCCCATATTTCTATTGGCATACATAGTTGCTTTTTTTTTTATTTGCCAGAACTCCTTAGATGTTATAAATACAAAAATCTGTCATACATATTGCCACTATTTTTACCTAACTATAAAAATGCAGTTCTATACCTATGTTTTCCTTTCAATTTTGTTTATAATATTCTTTTGAAAAAATAGTAGTTATAAATTAACATAGTTAAGTAGCTAAGTCTGTTCATCCAGTAGGCATAATTCAGTTATTTTTATTTTGAAATTCATATGTACTAATTATGCAATTTAAATAGGGAGAAAGATACTGAAGCTCAGAAGACTTAAGTAATTTACTGAAGGATACATAACTAGGAGACAGTAAAGCCGGGATTGAGAATGTTAATTTTTTTTTTAATTGTTAAATCTAAATGAGGATGAGAAATGGGGGAACTCACACATTATGTGTGAGCCAAATGTTGAAGGTCGTTACAGAGGGAACTGTGGAGAGGACCAGTGACTCTGAGGGTGGGACAGCCGGACCAGAAGTCAGTGTAGAAATGATAAAGTATCAAGAATGAGGAAGAAAAGGTAGAAATGAGATGTGGCCACTGTCACTGGCACCAAAACATTTGAAAAATATTGTCCATAGATGAGTAATAGAATAAGAATATACATCCAGGAGTGAGGGCGGGAGAGAAACAGGTGAGGGAGATGAAGAGGTACAGACCTCCAGTTGCAAAACAAATCAGTTATGTGTATGAAATGTACAGCATGGGGAGCATAGTGAGTAATTATGTAATATCTTCATATAGTGACAGATGGTAACTAGACTTATGAAGATCACTTTGAAATGCATAGAAATTTTAAATCACTATGTTATGTGATGAAAACTGATATAGTGTTACAGGTCAATTTTACTTCAAAAACAAACTCAGAAAAAAAGATCAAAATTGTGGTATGGGGAGGGAGAATTGGATGAAGGTGGTCAACAGGTACAAACTTCCAGTTATAAGGTAAATAGGAACTGTGGATGTAATGTACAACATGATAAATATAATGAACAGAGTACCCCTTTGCTAGTATTAGCAATGGAGTTATATACTCTCCAGTGAATCCAAAGAATGTCTGGAGGTTGTAAAGACCTCACCAGACCTACTCCCATAATTTACATTTTTAAGATAACAGAGTTGGCCAGAAGGTTTAATCCAAAGATTGTCCTCAGGCAGGATACATCCTTGTAAAGACGAGACCTACTCCCATAATTTATGTTTTAAAATAACGGAATTAGCCAGAGGGTTTAATCCAAAGACTGTCCTCAGGCAGGATACATTATTGTTATATAATCCTAAGGAATGTAGAGGAAAAAAAGTAAAAAAGTTTGTCCTTTCTTCCTCCTTGAATATCCCAGACCTCTCTCTCCTTGGGGACCCCTAGACTTCTTATCAACCTGCCTAGGAAATGACTCTCTCATTGTGTGTAAGTCAAACCATTATGCTATATACCTTAAAAGTATACGGTGCTATATGTCATTATATCTCAATAAAACTGGGAGGAAAGTTAATAATAAAAGCAAATTAATTAGTTTTTTTAAAAAAGAAAAGGAAATATATCAAATCTAAAATGAAGTCACAAGAGACAAATTTTATTTGAAAATGAAAAATGTAGTAATCTTAACATAGAACTTTCCTGGTCTGATTTATGTGATGTGTGACATTTAGTTTTTTTAGATTTCATTTGTTTCTTCTCAGCTGTGATTGCTGCTGGAACATTGCATTTTTTTAAACCAATTCTTTTGCTGCTGAAAGATAAATATTAAAATAACTTTCCTTGAGATGACTAAATAATTGACACGGTACACCAATTCAACTGAGCTTATCACACAGCAGAACTTTACCAGAAATACTTATTTTCTTGTTTCTGATTGTCATTGGCAAACCGTTGACTAGATACAGGAGACTCTTAATTCTAGAAAGGTCATTTCCTGCCATTGAGAGATCAGTTTCAGAAATGCCATTAAAAGTCAGTGAAATCATGGAGAATTTTCAATGATAGTGAGCAGAAAGCCTATTCATGAAAGCAATTATCTTTATAGACTACTTTGTCTCTTAATATAATTTAGATGCCCCTCCAAGAAAAAGAAGCTTCCAAGAAAGAAGTCATTCTTCTGGCAAAGATGAAACATCCCAACATTGTAACCTTCTTCAGTTCATTTCAAGGTTTGACTTCTTATATTCTTAAAGTATTTTAATAAAGTGTCAGCATGTAGATATCCATCTAAGATAGGATCCTGAGAACTGTGTATAAATTAATTTCTGTGACTGGGTTCGTGGTCCCATTTACTTAAATTTATTTTTCATCATCTTGATTTACATTCTGCTGAGTTTTTGTAGGCAGTTTTCCTAAATTTCCTTAAGTTTTCCCACCTGTCTTTAATTTTTACTCCCTCCCATTTTAATAATGGTTGTCTTAGCTTTGCTGCAGTAAGAACTTGCAGTGGCCTACAAGAATACTATCTGTGTCTCACTCATGTTACATGTTGGCTGTGGTTGGGTGGGATCTTTTTTATTTTTTAATTACAAACTCTTTTTTGGCCACACCACATGGCTTATGGAGTCTTAGTTCTCCCCCGCCAGGGACCACCTCGTGAAAGCACCAAGTTCTAACCACTGGTCTCGCCCGGAAATTCCCTGATGGGGACTTGAAGTCTGGGGCCCCGGCTGAAGGAGCAGCTCGGATCGGAAGCAGGCTGTTGTGAACAGAAGGGCAGGACACAGAGCCCACCGTGTCCTCACCCTAGAGCCACGTTTCTTCCTTCCCCCGTGTCCTCGCATTCGGGGGGCAAAGCAGACCCTCAGCCAGCCCTGAGGACGGGGCGGTGCTGGGAGGTGCCCTGACTCTGAGTCCCTGTGTGTCTGGGGGCAGTGAATGGGGCAGTGCAGTCCTCTTTCAGAGAGGCAGCTAGGCCGCTGGCCGGAATAGACGGGAAACTTCAAGGGAGCAAGCCTTCTTCTCTGTGCACCTGAGTACATTTCTTCTGCCTTCATCCATTACTCGACTCCAGAGGTTAAAAAAAAAAAAGCAATGGTCAGAGACCATTCATTCACTTAACAAATATTTACTGAGTGCTTATTGTATACATTTTTCTAGGTTCCAGGAATACATCAGTGAACAAAGAAAACAAACAAAAATGCCTGTCCTTTGTGACTCTTACACTCTAGTGGGAAGAGATAGACCATAAACACACAGGCAGGCTGTGTCGGGGCTGTGTATGCCCACAGTTCAGCCAACACCCAGCACGGGGTGGGGCGGTGTGTACTTGAATTCATAGGTTGGAAGTAGTTCATGGAGCAGGAATGTTACCTAGATATCTTCAAGAACCATCAGCGGTATATTAATAAAAATCAGTAAAGTTTTGTTTTTTTGCTTCATTGTGGCATGTGGGGCCTTAGTTCCCTGACCAGGGATCGAACCCACACCCTTGCAGTGAAAATGCAGTGTCTTAGTCACTGGACCTCCAAGGAAGCCCCAGTCAACAAAATTTAAAAGCTATTTTTTTGAGCTTCTACAGTCTGCTGGGCACTGTGTTTCTTACAGATTAAACCACTGCATGCAAAATAGCTTTCTGTGTTTCTTACAAATGAAAACTGGGTACAGTCTCTAAAAGACAGCTCAGGACACTTCTGAGGTCTTTGGGAATCGAGAGTACACGTGAGCAGGGAACCGAGTTGTATCGAGTAGCTTTCAAGGGGCAGCCACTGAATAAGGTGCCCTCTATTCCTGTTCGTTGGTTCCTACAATGACACCGGACGACAGCCTTCCTTTTCCTCACTCTGTGGGTTATTTTTGTGGCTCTCTCCATCTGGTAAGTCTCCGCTCGTTGTCAGGCCTTCTCTGAGTCACAATGCAAGTTACAGCCCCCTGTGCCGATCTTGCCAGCACTTCGGTACCGTGAGTGTGTCCATTCATATACGCCATTAGGAATTGGTCTAATATTTGTTTCCCTTTATGACAGTAAACATAACGGATTCTTTTGCTCACCACTTGCTCCTCAGCATCTGGCACATAGTAGGTGCTCAGGCACATTAGTGGAATGAGTACTTGGGCTGCCTGGACCATTTAGGAGAGTGGAGTCTGTCCTTACTCCATGTGAACTGGACATCTGAGGCTGGTTTACGCTGGATACCCTTATCAAATGAGAGGTCATTTTTTTACAGCATCAATAATCTTCGCTGACTTTGTCTATGTTGTACACTTAAACTTTCTCAAGACTCCCTCTTCCTTTTCATAACTAGAGCACCCCTGTGTTTAGGAAAACCAGAGCTATTGTGATGCCTTTGCGTTTTGCCTGGCAGATTGTTGGAACTTGAAACTTGGAGCTTGTCTGAAAGCCTCAGAGGTCCTTGTAACACCTGGCTGTAGAGAGTGTGGGGAAAGCCTTTGTTTATCCTCCAACAGCTCATCTCTAAACAAAAGAACCACGGCTCTAGTGCATTACATGTTTGTCAATGGAAAGTAGAAGTTTTTATAAGTTTGAAGCAGCAGGAGGAGAATAAGGAGAATGCAGTAAGATTTTCTTAAGGCTAAATTAAAAAAATACTTATATATGTATGTATTTGGCTGTGCTGGGTCTTAGTTGCGGCATGTGAACTCTTAGTTGAAGCGCGTGGCTTCTAGTTCCCTGACCAGGAATTGAACCTGGGCCCCCTTCACTGGGAGCACAGAGTCATAAGCCTCTGGACCACCAGGGAAGTCCCCATCAGGCTCAGTTAATTCCACTTAAATTCCTTCAGTTCCAAATATTTATCAAGTACCTCTAATAGGCTGAACACAGCCTGGGTCTTGGGGGCAAATCAATGAGCAAAATGGGTCCACGTCCACGCACTGCTCTTTTCTGTGGCTGTATAACCAGCGAACAGGAATTTAGTAGCTTAAACAGGCGCCTCCCAATTTCTCTAGCTCCTCCAGAAGCCTGGGCTTGGTTTAGCTGGATTCTTGCACAGGGTCTCCCATAGTTGAAATCAAGATGGTAACTGTGTCTGCAGCCTCCCTCACCCGAGGCCCAGAGTTCCCTTCCAGGCTTAGGCAGGTTGTTGGGAGATTTCATTTACTGCACTTGTAGGACTGAGATGTCTGCTTTCTGCAGACTATTAACTGGGGGTGGTCGTCTTCTGCTAGAGACCAGCCTCCCTCCCTGTCACATGGCCCCTTCAACAGGCCCTCTCCAGCACGGCATCTCTCTGTTTCTGCCATCCAGATCCAGATTTAAGTGGCTCTTGTGATTAGGTCAAGCCCAGGTGTATAATCTCCTTTTTCTGTTAACTCAAAGTCAGCTGCTTAGTAACTTTAATTATATCAGCAAATCCCCTTTGCTATGCAGCGTGACATATGATGGAGTGATATCCCGTATTTACAGGTTTCATTCTCACCCAAGGGGAGAGAGTTCACAGGGTGTGTGCATTAGGGTCATCTGAGAGTTCTACCTGCTCCTCAGCTGTGGTGTTCACATTCCAGGCGTAAAATGAGGGGTGCTGTGTGCTAAGTTGCTTCAGTCATGACTGACTCTTTGCGACCTTATGGACTGTAGCCTGCCCGGCTCCTCTGTGGGATTCTCCAGGCAAGAATACTGGAGTGGGTTGCCATTTCCTCCTCCAGGGGTTCTTCCCCACCCAGGGACTGACTCCGTGTCTCTTATGTCTCCTGCATTGGCAGGCAGATTCTTTACCACTAGCACTAGACAGGCAATAAATGTAAATACAACTAATAAGTACATTATGTAGTTTGTCTTAAAAAAATTTTTTTAAAGAATATATTTTACTGATATGGCCTCATGGGGTCTTAGTTTTAGCCTGCAGGATCTTTGATATTCATTGCAGTATGTGAGCTCTTAGTTGCAGCATTTGGGCGCTAGTTTCCTGACCAGGGATTGAACTCTGGCCCCTTGCATTGGAAGCTCAGACTCTTTACCACTGGACCATCCGGGAAGTCCCTGATAACCCCTTTAAAGTTGATTTAAGCTACTTGAAAGAAAGAGGTAGCAAATGATAGAATCTGGCAAGAAGAGTCTGACATTTAGTGGATACTCAGATAACTACAGAGCAAGATGCTAGAAAGATTAACAGTTGGTGGCAAGCCTGATTTTGTGCGATTCCTTTATTAAGCTCCTTCCATGTGCCAGGTGCAGGGAATGCAGAAGAGCCAAGTGTGGAGTCGCTCCTCAGGGAGCAAACTAGTGGGAGAAACAAACAAGTTAGTAGAAGGCCTTAACCTGGTAAGAACCCATCTGATAGTTGTTTGGTAAAGAAAAAGCTGATGAAGCAGAAACCATACAAACTTATTTTAATCTGTAAATGCACGATCATTTGCCAGACTTTTGATGTAAGATCAAAGCCTTGTCTTTGATTATGAATCCACTTACTGGACTTCTGAGCATTCTTTCTTTTGTAGGTGCCCCTCATCAGCAATTTATAATTTCCAGTTTCTGTTCTTTAGAGTGGAGTAAGAATTCACAGATATTCTCTCTGTGCACATTCCTTTGAAAGCTTCCCAGTTATTTTCCATTTGTGCCACCCAGCATTTAGCTTAATGAGTTTTTTTTTTTTAAGCTACTCACTTTTACTGGGTCCTTCACGGCATTTAATGTAGTTCTTGTAGAAACGATCACATCTTTTCCCATTCATCTCTCATCACTTTATATAAAAATTACAATAGCAAGTATCAGTTCAGTTCAGTTCAGTTGCTCAGTCGTGTCCGACTCTTGGCGACTCCATGGACTGCAGCACGCCGGGCCTCCCTGTCCATCACCAACTCCTGGAGTTTACTCAAACTCACGTCCATTGAGTTGGTGATGCCATCCAATCATCTTGTCCTCTGTCGTCCCCTTCTCCTCCTGCCTTCAATCTTTCCCAGCATCAGGGTCTTTTCAGATAGATTTGGGAATGAATGCAGTGATCCTGGTAAGAATCAGTGAGGGCAGAGGGAGCATAGTTGAGTCCAGTCGCCACCAGGGTAACCTTGAGCAACAGTCATGGAGGGTGCCCAACAATCTAGGATAGAGGTCAGTTAAAAGAAATTTGACTGGGACTTCCCTGATGGTCCAGTGGTTAAGAATCCACATTGCAATGCAGAGGATGCAGGTTCGATTCCTGGTTGGGGAAATTAAGATCCCATGTGCTGTGGAGCAACTAAGCCGGCACACCACATCTACTAGTGTTGAGCTCTTTGGAGCCCATATGCCCCAACTGGAGCATCCATGGGCCACAATGAAATTCTGAGTGCTGCAGTAAGACCTGACTCAGGCAAATACATAAATAAAATATTTTAAAAAGAGTGTCAACAGTACTCAACAATATAAATAAAAGTTTATACTTAAATTTAAGGGTCTGATCATTCTTTTAGCAGTGTTGAAAATGATTCACAGCTGTTGTGTTATAGCACATTTCCAGTCTCCTGCAGGAATGTATTAAAAATAATTGCTCACATTTATTGAACTCTCATTATGTGCAGGTATTGTTCTAAATATGTGATGTGGATTAACTCATTTAAAAGATGAAGTGAACAAAGATAAGGCAATCCCAAGAGGAGTGTCTACATTATCATCTTCATCTGACAGATGAGATAATGAAGCCCAGAAAAATTAAAATAACTTGCCCAGAGTCACAGAGCTAAGAAATTTAAGTGGCGAAGTGGGATTAGAGCCCAGTCCATCTTGATTCTACAGCCAGAGTGTTTAGCTATTATATTCTGCATTTTTCTGTTGCATTCTCCACCTTCTAGAACTTGAAAGGTAAGTAATTAGTAAATATTTGAAACCTATCCAACATCAAATGATGCCTTTTTTTACAGAGAACAACAGACTGTTTATTGTGATGGAGTATTGTGATGGTGGGGATCTCATGAAAAGGATCAGAAGACAACGGGGAGTGTTATTTAGTGAAGATCAGGTAGAAACTCTTCCAATTTGCCTGTTTATTTATATTGGGGATTAAAGTTATAATTTCATAAGTAATAGACTGTGTTCATATGAAGCATGATTGGTGGAAGAGAATTCAAACTATAAAAATAATGGCTTGGTATTTTTTTTTTACAGTGTCAATGTTCATTTATTTTTTATTTTTCTTTTTATCTTTTAAATTATGAAAAGTATGAAAAAAAAAGTATGATAACACATTTATATGAGACTTGGAAAATTCAGAGCAAAGTTACATATGATCCTACTATATATTATTAATACAATTATTTTTTAAAATAGCTATATTAAGATTTTTAGTGGGCGTTTCAACATCAAACTCTCAAAAATTTATAGAATGAATATACCTAAAAGTGGAAGGATATGGTAGACCTGAAAAGGACCATGAACTAATTCAACATAATTAAGATTTATACAATTTTCACACAATAGTAGGATACAAATTCTATTCAAGTTACCATAAACTAGGAGACCACTGGAATATATTCAGGGACATAAAACAAGGTGCAGAAATTTCATAGTCTAAAGGTATTGAAATCATAGAGAGTCTGTTCTCTTATCACTGTGGAATCATGTTAGAAATCAATATCAAAAGATATTTGAAAATAACCCACATATTTTCAAGTGCAGTCTGACATTTGCCAAGAGAGACCTTCCACTTAGCCACTGAAGGCCTCAGTAAAGTTAGAAGACTGAAAAACCAGAAGGTGACTGCAGAGAAGAAAGCATTTAAATGAGAAATTAACCTAGCCTAGAACATGTTTGCAATTGAACTTAAATTGAATCTCTGTTTGAGAGTGAACTTTGCTTGAGAAAGGACAGTATCTTATTTTTGGACAGTCTCATGTAGGATGCCCCTGAGATAGATCTTAGTGGCTGAAAAAAAAGTGAATGAGGATGTTCCTTAGCCACTTAAAATGTGATGTATTTATAGCTTCACTCTTCTTCCTTTTACCAGTGAGTACTCTGTTTTAAAATAGATTTCCCACTTTGCTGGGGAGGATAGAAGCTCTTTTTAGCAATGGCTATTTAGTTTCATTGGTTATTAAGAGAGAGAAGAGAAAAGGTGAAGAGTAATGGCCTCAATTCCCATTTTCTCTGAGGACAAACACATTTTTCTTCTGTACCTTGAGCATCCTTTGATACCCTCTTGGAACTTTTACTCCTGAAGGAGACAGGTGTTTGTAGTGGGGAAGAACTGGACTCGTGGCCTGTGTGATTGAAGGGAAAGGCCTCGGTCACGAGCAGGACACAAGATTGGCCCACCAGCTTTCTTCAAGCCCTTTGCTTCTTTATTCTCTTTTAGCATTTAAAAGCCCTGATAATTTCCTCTTTAATTTAAACTTCAATGTCGTGAATGTATGAGTGATTAAAGAATCAATATCCCTAACCTCTGTAAATTTAATCAAGCATTCTTCCTATGCTCATTGACATTATATATTAAATTCTATAGTTGTAGAAACCTCCTTTCTTCTTACCTTATCTATTATTTTGCCACATTTAATAAAAATACTTTTCTCTACATAAGTTTGAATTACATTTCCCGTGATTGAGAAAGAACTAAAATTACAACTGATGGATTTTCCTGGTGGTCCAGTGGTTAAGACTCTGCACTTCCACTGCAGAGGACAAGGGTTTGATCCCTGATCGGCGAACTAAGGCCTTCCCTTGTGGCTCAGACAGTAAGAATCTGCCTGAAATGTGGGAGACCTGGATTCGATCCCTGGGTTAGGAAGATCCCCTGGAGAAAGGAATGGCTACCCACTCCAGTATTTTTGCCTGAAGAATCCCCAGGGACAAAGGATCCTGGCAGGCTACAATCCATGAGGTCACAAAGAGTTGGACACGACTAAAGCGACTTAACACACAGACTGGGCACTAAGATTCCACATGTTGCACAACACAGCCAAAAAAAAATTAGAAGTGAATCTTAGTACCTGGAATATAGTTTTTTTCCCAATTGTTTTCTTGTCTCTGTTTTGGTGGATAAAGAACCATTGAAATTTTAGAATTGTTTAAATAAATCTCTATAGGCATTTGAGTGCAAGCGTGTAAGCGCAGTTGTGTTTTCCTACTCCAGGGGAACTTCGGGACCCAGGGATCGAACCTGCGTCTCTTGCATCTCCTGAATGGGCAGGCAAATTCTTCCCCACCTGGGAAGCTGTCTGCAGTGGCTCAGTGGTGAAGAATCTTCCTTCCCGGTTCGATCCCTGGGTCCGGAAGATCCCCTGGAGAAGGACATGGTGACTCACTCTAGTATTCTTTCCTTGAGAATCCCATGGACAGAGGAGCCTGCAGGGCTATATAGTCCATGGGGTGGCAGAAAGTTAGACATGACTGAAGTGCCTTAGCACAGCAGAACAGCTTAATAAAAAGACTCCTGGTCAGCTAAGATAAAATAAAATCACAACTGAGAAATAAACCATAACTAAGAAATAAAATTCAGCCCCCTGCATTTTGGGAGCGCAGTCTTAGCCACTGGACCACGAGGGAAGTCCCCTGTTTATCTTTCTCTGTGTGCAGTGTTCCTTTTCATACCAACATGTTTGGATTGCCTTTTCACACTTCCATTTGTCCAGCTGTAAGGAGAACATAGTATGGTACGATGGTATATCTATTCACTTCATTCGTGTAACCACACACACAAATATATTATTTCTCTCTTTGTGCATGCTATCATTGAAGATATTTCAGTGATCACCAGATTGCTCACTAGTTTTATGTTCCCTCTACAGATTCTGAGTTGGTTTGTACAGATTTCTCTAGGACTGAAACATATTCACGACAGGAAGGTTTTACACAGGGACATAAAAACACAGGTAATGGCTCAGAGACAAAATCAAGAAGAATAGATCTTTTATTTTCTTGAAATATCTCCAACAACATAGCCTTTTCTCCACTTATAGAACATTTTTCTTAGCAAGAATGGAATGGTTGCAAAGCTTGGGGACTTTGGTATTGCAAGGGTCTTGAACAAGTAAGTACTTTTAAGAATCATTTTTCCTTCTGTTCAAAACAGCCAAAATACGTGTTTTTAGGTATGAAGAATTAAGAGGGTATTAAGAGCTTGGTTTCTCAATAATTTTGGATAATTGTTTATATAAGTATATTAAAGTATTCAGATGGTACGTTGAGATTAAAATTTGTGAGACATATCTTGGCATAGTAGAATGGTGTTGGCAGTGCTGTATAGTGTGATATAAGCTGATCAAATGAGATGTGACTGAAATGTATGTAAAGTTAGTGAGCATTTTGTGAAACAGGAAAATTAACACGTGCTTAGGAGAGTATATTGATGCAACTGTTTCAAAAGACAGTTTGTTGATAATAAATGCCAAGAGATTTTAAATGTTCTGAGAATTTGTTCTAAGGGAATAATTTGAAATCTGAAATAGTTTAAATGCCTAAAAATTGGGAAATAGTTAAATTTTATAAAACTTGGCACAGTCATGTACCGGAATATTGTACCACTGACATTTATGATTTTGAAGACTTTTTGATAATGTGAGAACAAACTTTGTTGTATTAGATTTAAAATTTTTAAATTTTTAAAAAGGGAATTATGAATTTCAAATACACTATAATCACAGCTATGTGGAAAATATGCATGGAAAAAAAGACAAGGAAATATATCAGAATTTTAACACTAGTTGTTTGAGGGTAGTAAGATTCTTGGTAATTTTTTTCTTCTTTATTCACTTTTCTGTTTTCCAAATTTTAAATCATGAGATTGCATTACTTTCATCATTGGAATGAGGGAAATTTTTACATGTGAGAGTTTGCAAAATAACAATGATACCTTTTCATGCGGTCTTTAAGCCATAAATTTTTTTTTATTGTGTAGATTTTGGGGAAATGAATTATAAGCTTAAAATCAATTAATTTTATTACTACATTATTAATATACTGTATGTTTTGCTTTATTTTAATATATGAATACATCAAATTTGGGGTTACTTTTATATATTTTTCTTACATGTATGTGTATGTCTTAAGCCTTTTCTTACTTCAGTAATATACTATGTTATTTTATTGTTTAATATAACTTTGCTAGTACCATGGAACTTGCTAGAACTTGCGTTGGAACACCTTACTACCTGTCCCCAGAGATCTGTCAGAATAAACCCTACAACAATAAAACGTGAGTTGCTGGCTTTTGGTTTGAAAGTCTCAGTAAAATCTTATGGATTCTTTCTTATGGTGATTTGTAATTTCATTTTCTTCACCTGTGAAATGAGGATCGCTGTGACCGCCTCTGACCACTTCAGTGTTTCCTAAAGCTTTCAAATTTATTTAGAAAAGAGATATGTCTCTTCATTTGATGATAGAAGTGATAGAAAGAATAACATTGAAAATTGAGGTCACTGTGATGAGCATCTTTGTATTTGATTCTCATGCTTTCTAAGCACTGTTTAGCTATTGCAGGAAAGTGCTGCAGATGGGTCAGGTGGAAAGCGGTGAGGTCTGGTGACACAGCGCTGGTTTAGGGACCAGAAACCCTAACCTTGAATTGGTCAGCGACTTGACCAAGTCAGTCGATCTGTGTGGGTCTTAGTTCCCCTATCTTCAACAAAGGGAGTGTTGGCTGGGTAATTGTTAAGGCATCTTCCAGCTTTAAAATCAACTAGCTTTGACATTTGTGGTGCTAGAGCCTACTGTTTAGGAGTAATATTAATATAGTTTGTGAAAGTGTTCATCGCTCAGTCATGTTTGACTCTTTGCTACCCCATGGGCTGTAGACTGCCAGGCTTCTCTGTCCATGAAATTCTCCAGGCAAGAATGTTGGAGTGGGTTGCCATTCCCTTCTCCAAGGGAACTTCCTGACCCAGGGATCAAACCCTTATCTCCTGCATTTGCAGGTGGGTTCTTTACCACTAGCTCCAGGGCAGCCGTAATATTAATATACACAGTGATAAAAGATAAAGCCAAGATAGTTTTTACTTCCATGGAAGGAGAAGGAAAGCATTTCACTTTTCAAAGCTGTCTTCCAGTTGAACTAGTTGGCTTTGCAGGAAGACCAAGTTCCTTTGTGGCATTCATTGCCTGTTTGTTTAGAAAAGTACCCAAGTGATATTTGACTGACTTTGAAAGAGATAAATGAAAAGCAAAGCCCTAAAGAAGAGTGGTGAACATTTCCCCACATAGTAGAAGAATGGGCAATTTTGGGAGATGTCCTCTGACCTAGAGAAGGGGTTTGGCCTCAAGCTGACCAGGAATGCAGCTAGTGTAGCCAGGGTGGAAGGGCAGACTTTTGAGAGCAGAGCGCACTCGGTGCTGCAAAGAGAGACCCCGGCTCAGCAGCATTGTTTTGTTGCCTTGCATTATTTTTTAAGCGTCTAAGTCCACATTTAAATATGTTGGTTTGATGCTTTGAATAATTGGAAGATCCTAGCAATAAATCGTTACCAAACTGGGTTAATTCACGTAATGCACAGCAAGCCAAATGCTGAGACACTGAGGTTTGCAGCAGAGGAAGAAAGGGTTTATACACAAGGCAGCCAGATGAGGAGACTGGAGAACAAGTCTCAGATCTGCCTCCCTGAAGGCGAGGGATTTGAGATATTTATGGGATGAAGAAGCAGCATGGTCTTAGGCTGGCTTCCCCCGTGGCTCAGTGGTGAAGAGTCCGCCTGCAATGCAGGGTGGTCTTAGGCATGGGGAAAGGGGATTGGAGGTGAGGTAACTGGTGTTCTGTGCAGACATAGCTGGGTTTCATGCATCTTCATAGGATGCATGTTAAAAAATGGAAATGTTTAGCATGATCTGAGAGAGGTTGTTTTTGGCCCTCTGAGGTCAAAGGTCATTTATTGGACACCTGCACAGGCCCAGTTTTAGCACATTTTAAGTTCATTGAGTACCAGATACTCTGTTTATCACTTAATCTAACTTTGGTTCTGTCTATAGCCTCGAGTAGAACGTTCCTTTCTAAATCAACCAAATGTTACCTGTTGAATCAGGTAATCCACATTTGAGTTCTTCCTCCCTCCTCCAAATTGCTCAAAATTCCATACACCCACACATTTTCTTTGAGATCATCACATGAAGTTAAAGTAAGTATTGAGCCATCAGATTGTAGCAAAGCTTGTGTACCTTTTCTCTGCTGGGACTCTGACAAGCTACAATTTTTTTCTCTAGTCTTAGTAAGAATTGATAATGTACTGAAAGCATTTGTGAAAACTGGCCACCCTATATAAAATTGTAAAGATACACAAATATAATTGACTGTAAGGATAAAGGTTTAAATTGAGAATTATCGATATTTCTTGGCATATAAACTCTTATCTTTCCCAGGGATATTTGGTCTCTTGGCTGTGTCTTATATGAGCTCTGCACACTCAGACATCCTGTAAGTATATTAATCATCAGATTATCTTGAATTATTGAAAAGTATATAAATGAAAATAACCTCTGAAAGAAAAAGGTTGTTTGGTTTTATCAGATTGTTAAAAATTATATGAACAAGATATTAACAAGAATGACAGCTCCATATATACCGACATGGGACGATATCCAAGCTACATTATTAAGGACAAAATCCAAGTTGGAGAATGGTACATACAGCATGAAAAAAGTGTTAGTCACTCAGTTGTGTCTGACTCTTTGCAACCCCAGGCTCCTCTGTCATTTAAAAAAGCAAGATATAAAATTTCATATCATATCATACGATCTCAACTTTGTAAAATAAGTAGTATTATTTTTTAAATGACTAGAAGAAAATATATCTCTGGGTGGTGGAATTTTATGCATTTTTCCCTGTTTATAATTTCCTATACCTCCTAGTTTTGGGGAACAAGTAAACATTTTGATGATAAAGAAACTAAAAAACCCCTTATTTTAAGTAATATGATGTCTCATTGAATAACTGCCTACATGTTGATGGGAAAAATTCAGGGCAGACCATGGTACTCTTAATGAAAGCTTTTAGCATTGTGTTGTTTTTTGAAGTTATTTTACTTTTTAAAAATTAAAAAAAATTTAAATACCTTGTCTTATAGCTCAGTTGATAAAAAAATTCCCCTGCAGTGCAGGAGACCCTAGTTTGATTCCTGGGTCAGAAAGATCTGCTGGAAAAGGGATAGGCTACCCACTCCAGTATTCTTGGGCTTCCCTTGTGGCTCAGCTGGTAGAGAATCTGCCTGCAATGCGGGGACCTGGGTTCAATCTCTGGGTTGGGAAGATCCCCCTGGAGAAGGGAAAGGCTACCCACTCCACTATTCTTGCCTGGAGAGTTCCATGGACAGAGGAGCCTGGCGGGCTACAGTCCATGGGGTTGCAGAGAGTCGGACACAGACTGAGCGACTTTCACTTCACTCCCTCCTCTTTTTAAAATTTATTTATTTTTAATGTTTATTTATTTACTTATTTGACTGTGTCAAGTCTTAAGTTGTGACTTGCAAGATCTTTCATTGCACAGACTCTCTAGCTGTAGCAGGAGGTCTCAGTAGTTGCCCCACACAGGCTTAGTCCCTCCGTGGCATGTGGAATCTTAGTTCCCGACCAGGGAGCAAACCCACGTCCCCTGCATTGCAGGACAAGTTCTTAACCATTGGACTACCAGGGAAGTCCCTCTTGGTATTCCTTTAAATATTCACACCGAATTTTTCTCTGATTTAGTATCACCATTCCTGTCCTTTCAGTTTGAGGCTAACAACTTACAGCAGCTGGTTCTGAAGATTTGTCAAGCTCATGTTCCTCCGATATCACCACGGTTTTCCCGTGACCTACAGTTCTTAATATCCCAGCTCTTTGAAGTATCTCCCCGAGATCGGCCATCCATCAATTCCATTTTGAAAAGGCCCTTTTTAGAGAATCTTATTGCCAAATACTTGACTCCCGAGGTGAGTTTGGAGGTGATTCTGTTTGCATTTTGACAGAGATTTTTGGCTAGTGAGTCCTGATACACTGTTATATTTTAGGTCATTTACGAAGAATTCAGTCACCCACTCTTACATAAAGCAAGACCATCTGCTTCTCAACCTGCTGGGAAGGTAGCCCCTGGTAAGAAGGACTTAACTGTGCAATTAAAAGATATTTATTGTGTGTGTCTCACGCAGTGATTTATAGTATATGGTTGACAACATTAGCAGGGAAATTCCTCCAGATATATTGAATGTGGACATTTAAAAAAGGAGCACTATAAGCAGAGCTTCCCAGGTGGTGCTAGTGGTAAAGAACCCGTCTGTCGATGCAGGAGACATGAGATGAATTTATTATAGCAATACCATGATTTCTTATTAATCTCAATGCCTGAGACCTACAACACATCTTTGTATTAAACCCAGACAATTCTAGTCTACCTTTACGAGGCCTCGTACTAGCTGCAACTGGAAAATCTGCCCAAATTGGCCTATGAAGGTTCGATCTCTGGGCCAGGGAGATCCCTTGGAGGAGGGCAGGGCAACCCACTCCAGTATTCTTGCCTGGAGAATCCCATGGACAGAGGAGCCTGGTGGGCTGCAGTTCACAGGGTTGCAGAGTCAGACATGACTGAAGCGACTTAGCATGCACCAACACTATAAACAGGAGAAAAATTTTTGTTGAGTGGTGACCTGTGGGTGTGCCTGTACATCTAGCTCATTCATGACCTGGAGGATTCTTCTCCCCTCTTCTCATCAGTCAGGAAAACTTGATGAAGCAGCGGATTTGCTGATAAAGAGATGCTCAGAGAGGTAGGACCCAAGCTTCACTTTTGTGTAAGCAAGGGGTAGCGAGTCAGAGAAGGGTCACAGACAGACACGGAATCATGGGATGAAGCTTATGTTTTTGAACTAGAGAGAATGGACTGCAGATTAAGAGTTCTCTTGCAGAGGCTGGTTTGAGCTGAAGTTAGGATCTTGGACCTAATTGGTAACAGTAGGAGAATTGTTACTATGTGATCCCCAAAGAAAGCAGGTGATACCTTATGGTAATGAGAAATAGGGGAGCTGCTTTAGTGATAGTGTCAGGAATCAGCTGATGAAATACTGTATGTGTGTTTGTGTGTATGTGTAAGAGAGACAGACATTAAAGAGAAAAATTACTAATTCAATTAATATTGTGAAATAAGAACAGTAGGATTTTTCAATTCCGTTCAGTTCAGTTGCTCAGTCATGAGTGACTCTGCAAGTCCATGGGCTGCAGCATGCCAGGCCTCCCTGTCCATCACCAACTCCTGGCGTTTACTCACACTCATGTCCATTGAGTCAGTGATGCCATTCAACCATCTCATCCTCTGTCATCCCCTTCTCCTCCTACCTTCAATCTTTCCCAGCTTCAGGGTCTTTTCAAATGAGTCAGTTCTTTGCATCAGGTGGCCAAAGTGTTGGATTTTCAGCTTCAGCATCAGTCCTTCCAATGAATATTCAGGACTGATTTTCTTTAGGATGGACTGGTTGAATCTCCTTGCAGTCCAAGGGACTCTCAAGAGTCTTCTCCAACACCACAGTTCAAAAGCGTCAATTCTTTGGCGCTCAGCTTTCTTTATAGTCCAACTCTCACATCCATACATGACTACTGGAAAAGGCATAGCTTTGACTATACAGACCTTTATTGGCAAATTAATGTCTCTGCTGTTTAGGTTGGTCATAACATTTCTTTTAAGGAGCAAGCGTCTTTTAATTTCATGGCTGCAGTCACTATCTGCAGTGATTTTGGAGCCCTGTCTGTCACTGTTTCCACTGTTTCCCCATCTATTTGCCATGAAGTGATGGGACCGGATGCCATGATCTTAGTTTTCTGAATGTTGAGCCTTAAGCCAACTTTTTCACTCTCCTCTTTCACTTTCATCAAGAGATTCTTTAGTTCTTCTTCACTTTCTGCCGTAAGGGTGGAGTCATTTGCATATCTGAGGTTTTTGATATTTCTCCTGGAAATCTTGATTCCAGCTTGTACTTCATCCAGCCCAGCGTTTCTCATGATGTACTCCGCATAGAAGTTAAATTAGCAGAGTGACAGTATACAGGCTTGACATGCTCCTTTCCTGATTTGGAACTAGTCTGTTTTTCCATGTCCAGTTCTAACTGTTGCTTCTTGACCTGCATACAGATTTCTCAGGAGGTCAGATGGTCTGGTATCCCCATCTCTCTCAGAATATTCCACAGTTTCTTGTGATCCACACAGTCAAAGGCTTTGGCATAGTCAATAAAGCAGAAGTAGATGTTTTTCTGGAACTCTCTTGCTTTTTTGATGATCCAATGGATGTTGGCAATTTGATCTCTGGTTCCTCTGCCTTTTCTAAATCCAGCTTGAACATCTGGATGTTCTTGGTTCACATACTGTTGAAGCCTGGCTTGGAGAATTTTGAGCATTACTTTTTTTGAGCTAGTATGTGAGATGAATGCAATTGTGTGGTAGTTTGAACATTCTTTGGCGTTGCCTTTCTTTGGGATTGGAACAAAAACTGACCTTTTCTAGTCATGTGGCCACTGCTGAGTTTTCCAAATTTGCTGGCAGATTGAATGCAGCACATTCACAGCATCATCTTTTAGGATTTGAAATAGCTCAGCTGGAATTCCACCACCTCCACTAACTTTGTTCGTAGTGATGCTTCCTGTGGCCCACTTGACTTCACATTCCAGGATATCTGGCTCTAGGTGAGTGATCAAACCATTGTGATTATCTGGGAGATCTTTTTTATACAGTTCTGTGTATTCTTGCCACCTCATCTTAATATCTTCTGTTTCTGCTAGGTCCATACCATTTCTTTCCTTTATTGTGCTCATCTTTGCATGACAAGTTCCCTTGGTATCTCTAATTTTCTTGAAGAGATCTCTAGTCTTTCCCATTCTATTGTTTTCCCCTGTTTTGTATTGAACACTGAGGAAGGCTTTCTTATCTCTCCTTGCTATTCTTTGGGACTCTGCATTCAGATGGGTGTATCTTTCCTTTTCTCCTTTGCCTTTTGCCTCTCTTCTTTTCACAGCTATTTGTAAGGCCTACTCAGACAACCATTTTGCCTTTTTGCATTTCTTTTTCTTGGGGATGGTCTTAATCACTGCCTCCTGTACAATGTCACGAACCTCCGTCCATAGTTCTTCAGGCACTCTATCTATCAGGTCTAATCCCTTGAATCTATTTGTCACTTCCACTGTAAAATTGTAAGGGATTTGATTTAGGTCATACCTGAATGGTGTAGTGGTTTTCCCTACTTTCTTCAATTTAAGTCGTTCAATTTAACGGCAGGATTTTTAGCCATAACCAAATATTTCAGCTTCAAGGATTAGGAGGAACCAGTGAGAGGGAAATATTACCCACTGTGATGGAGAAATTATTATAAACTTAGGAAATTTATAAAGGGAAAGTGAATGGGTAATTCTGCTGTGTTTAATTTGATTTGACATCATTATGTATTGGTCTAGATTGAGAATGTTTAGAAAGTAGATAAGTAGACCATGAAAGAAAGTGCATTGTCTACATTCTGATATAGGACAGATGGGAAAACAGGAACACATGGGTGAAGGTGATAAATACAAACATGTTAGAAGACCCACTCATCCATTTCAAGCAACAATGGGTCCTGAATGCTGCGGCCTGATAACCCAAGCTCTGATGACTACATTTAATTACTTGTAATTGATTTAGTTAATAATTGAACTACTAAACATGCCATTTTGTTATGCACATTGTTTCTGTAACTGTTAATATTAACTCTAAATTCTTAAATAGTAGACGATTAAATAATTAAATATTACTAGAACTATGTATGGAGAAGGAAATGGCAACCCACTCCAGTGTTCTTGCCTGGAGAATCACATGGACAGAGGGGCCTGGCGGGCTACAGTCCATGGGATCGCAAGAGTCGGACACGACTGAGCGACTAGAGAGAGAGAGAGAGAACTGTGTAGAGGAACCCTGGCAAGAATGATTTCCTCCATCCAAAGAAAATGCGTAGTCATTTTCCATCAGCCCTTCTCTTTGTGAGTATAAATGTTTCTGGTTACAGTGAACTTAGCGTGTTATGAAATGCTCCGTATGCTTATACTCTCATGAGTATAAAAAATTTTTTTTAATGAAGTTGCTTTCTTTTGGTTAAATAAGTTTCTATAATACAGAAAGTGAGATTCCAGGAAAAGTGCCTACCAAGATCAAGAATAGCAGTGCCAAATAAGAGGAAGGATGTATTATATAGAAATGAATGCAGACCACCAGCTGAAGCCCAGACACCCACATCTGTAAGTCTTGCTAAACCATTCCTGTTGTTTTAGCAGATGGTCTGTTCTACAGAACTGCTTGCACAAGTTCATGAGGTATGAGGTCATGATGTGAGGGTTCACTAGTTTGGTACTTACAATAAAATTCTGTAATTAGCATTAAAGTGGTACTTCATGGGGCAACTTCTAGTTATTATATATATTTTTAACAATGCTGTATTTTCTTATAAGTATTGTATGCATTAGTTTTTTTTTGTAATTCAGTTTAATTTCTTTAAATAAGTAAGGTTTTTCTATATAGGACAAGTGAGTAGAATAGCAGCAGAAAACTTTCCCCATTCATACTCCTGATTCTAATGTTGTATGTAATTGAGGAATTTTTATTATAAAATCATTGATTTTTTTCCCCTGAGTTTCTTTATGCCAGTTATTTGAATCCATTTCATCAGAATGTTGAATCTTTTAGTTTTTGCTAGTGAAATGCTTCTGGCACATAAAAATGGCTGTTGTATTTTAACTGAAGAATTATATTCTTAAAGAAGGCTCATGGTATAATTACAGGGCCATTTGAAGTACATTTCCTAAGTGTTTACTTGCTATCTAAACATTTTAGCAAATATGTTGGTGTACAGATAGATTTTTGCAACTATTAAATTATTGCCCTTTATTTGATAGAATGTGGCTTAATTTTATTAAAGAATTTTGAAAGTATGTTGTAATTTAGAATACTCTGTAGCAAACCTGCAGGAGGCAAAAACAAAACAAAACCAAACAAACAAGAAAAAACATCTAAAAGATTTCTGGGAGGATGATATTAGGAGAACATTTTGCTGGTTCTTTAATCCTCAGAAAGCTTCTGCTAATGCAGTGAAATGGGAGGTCTCCACAGGAACCATCTTGAATGTTGTTATTACCATTTGGCGTTTTAGAGAAAATCCTAAAGAAGCTGTTTTTTCCTTCTAATACTTTTCTGTATTTCTAGCCATTTTCCAACTAAGTAGTAGTACCTTCTTTTGGATTGTACATAGGTAAACATCATAAAACTAAGAAAATGACTTGACACTTTAAAATTAAAATAAATGTTTAATTTGTATTTAGACTGATAAGCCAGATTTTACACATTTACTTTAATATTTGAATAGGGTTATGTGAATATGCCATTTTTGTAAGTTAAAGATGGTCAAATATCTGTAATTTCATATTTAATCTTACATATATATTGTGTGTGTGCTCAGTCGCGTCCAGCTCTTTGCAACCCCAAGGACTGTAGCCCGCCAGGCTCCTCTGTCCATGGGATTCTCCAGGCAAGAATACTGGAGTGAGTTGCCATTTCCTCCTCCTGGGGCTCTTCCTGTGTATATGAACAACAACAAATAAGTTTATGAAAAATAGGAAATAATAACAGTCTAGTTTCATATCTTGGGTTGGATAGATACTCACTAAGTACTTTTGATACACTAGTCATGAAGTATCCATGACTCATATTCACACCTGAGCAAAATTATTAACTGTGGTGGCTCAAGACTTTGGCTTCTAAAACATTTTTCAGTTCTAGGATTTGGGGATTGTAAGATTACTGAAAAACAAGTCTAGAGCAAGGACAACAAAATAACTTCTATGCCTTGTCTCAGCTATGGTCACTATCAAGCAGTCAGTTATTATAGATTTTAATCCTATATTTTAAAAAAAACTCTCTTCATTTTAATCCCTCAGGTAAACATGGTAGAAAGGCCCAAACTTGCTGCTGCGTGTGGCCATTATGATCATTTTTATGCTCAACTTGACTTGTTGAGAAAGAGAGCGCACAGACCAAACTGCCGCCATGTTCCTCAGAAAGATGGCAGAGTTGAGGAGAGTTATGATGAGGAAGAAAGCCACAGCCCGCCTCCAGGTCAATGGTAATGTCAGAGTCTAACTTAAGCTTTCGTCCTCGGGATATATCTCGCTATATCAGCATTTATTTTGAAGTCTGTCCAAATTCTCCTAAAACATCCAGGAAGAATCTCCAGACTCTTCATTTAAAATACTTAATTCACCGTTCCCTTGACCCTTTTTATCTCAAGTTTGATGTAACTAATCTTATTATGTTGCCATTTGACTGTGGGCACAGATTCATCCTCTTAAATTTTTCGTGTTGCTTTCTTCTTTCTGGTAATGTGGGACACCTGGGTTTCATCCCTGGGTTGGGAAGATTCCCCTGGAGAAGGGCATGGTTACCCAGTCCAGTATTCTGGCCTGGAGAATCCCATGGCTATGTAGTCTATGGGGTTGCAAAGAGTGGGACATGACTGAGCAACTTTCACTCTTCACTTTGAACTCAGAATGTCACAGGTGATTTGTGAATCTCATTATGAAACTGAAAATCTACTAGTCAAATTGCTGCCTATAACAAGTTAAAATTTCTACTCAAGCTGAACATTTCTCTTTCCTAAGGCTTGCTGAATACCTTCAGAGGAAATGTGAGGCTCAACAATATAAGCTGAAAGTGGAAAAGCAATTGGTAAGTAAAAACCAAATATGAGGCCATCAGAAATTTTTAACACTTTCTCTGTTCACAAATATTCATGGTTCCTTAAGTCAAAGTTCATTCCACATAGAAGATTAAGACTAGTTTTTAACAGCTAAAGAAGAATATTGGGAATAGGCTTCAGTTAGGATCTGAGAAGCCTAGTCCCTTCCCTGACTCCATCACTTGCTGTGTGACATTAGGCAGAACATGCAGCCTCTCTGAACTTCAGTATCTTTCTCTATAAAAGTTGTATATAGGCTTCAAGGTCCCCTTCAGTGCTGCTTTTCTTTGATTCTAGTTTTTTAGAATTCTAAACATTCTAGATTATCATATTTTATTTGAAATGAAAGTTAAACTTTACCCTTAAGTATAGTGTCAAAATTCTGGGGCTGAGTGAAATTGGATATACATCCTATTTGTAGTGCTCTTATTTTGAGCTGCTCAAAAAACTTTAGTTCTCTTCCCCTACCTAATCCCAAGCTCCAAGGGTTGCTGAACTTTTATAGGTATTTGATTCCACAATTACAGTTTACCAGTTCAGAAAACGAATCTAGGTGTCTTACATGGTTGCATAAAATATTGATTGCTTAGACTAAACAATACCAATGGTTGTATTCATTTACTTTTTTAAAAGTTTCATGCTTAATCTAAGAAAATTCTGCTTACTATAAAAAAAACTCAATATAATTATTAGCAAATAGTGAGATTGATAATATAATTATTACTTAAAGGATGAGGTGCAGGTCAAGTCATGTTTCCAGAATGCAAATACACTTGATAAACTACTTTATTCTAATAATAGGGTCTTCGTCCATCTTCTGCTGAGCCAAATCACAACCAGAGACAAAAGCTGAGAAGTGATGGGGAAGGACCTAGATTCTGGGGGCTGCAGTTCAGGAGAAATGAAATGAAGGAACAGGTTAGAAACTGTCTGCTTCCAAGGGCTACCGCTGTATTTCTCTGATTGTCTTTTGTACCGTAATACCGTGTTGCTTTGAGGAAGGCACAGCAGCTCACTCCTGTATTAATATTCTTGCATGGAAAATCCCATGGACAGAGGAGCCTGGTGGGCTACAGTGCATAGGGTCGCACGACTGAAGCAGCTTAGCACGCACACACGCAGGGTATTGAGAGAACTCACTGCACAAACCCTTGCAGGATGCACGGTGTGAAGCACCGCGCTGAGGGTTCGGGAGACAGAGACGTGTATTTCACCTTCTCAGAGAATGCACTGTAGCTGAGTTCATAAGGCTTTTTACCTCGGATTGATCAAGTAACTGTCCATCCTGAACATTTTTGGAATTTGTATTAGTTCCCTTGGGCTGCCTTACAACACGCCGGGCAGTTTGAAGCAACAGAAATTTACTGTCTCGCAGTTCTGGAGGCTTGAAGTCCAAAGTCAAGATGTCAGCAGGGCCATGCTCCCTGTGAACTCTGGAGAGGTGTCCCTCTTTGCCTTTTGCTGGCTTCTAGTTGGTCTGTGATGCTCAGATATCCTCACTTGCAGTGACACAACTCAGTCTCTGCCACTGGACGTGGCATCCTCCTTGTGTGACCATCTTCATCTTCTTTTTTTAAAAGGAGTCTGCTTCTTTTTTAAAAAATATTATTTATTATTATTTTTTATTTTTTGGCCACACCATGTGGCGCGGGGCCCTTAGTTCCCTGGCCAGGGATCAAACCCAAGTCCTCGGCATTAGAAATGCACAGTGTTAAAGAGAAATTAAGGAAACAATACCATTCACCATTGCAACAAAAAGAATAAAATACTTAGGAGTATATCTACCTAAAGAAACAAAAGACCTATACATAGAAAACTATAAAACACTGATGAAAGAAATCAAAGAGGACACAAACAGATGGAGAAATATACCGTGTTCATGGATTGGAAGAATCAATATTGTCAAAATGGCTATACTACCCAAAGCAATCTATAGA